AGTAGGTACTTGTATTTACACGAGTGGAAAGATTCGCAACCGTGCGTGGGGTAGTTCAGTGTACGAAACTTGAGATAAAAATTGATAAAATGACACTGTTGATACAATCTTTTATTTATTATTTTTATCAGCTTTTAAATAATTCATGCTTCATTTCGTATAAAAATATTTTTCCCTTCGTCGATGTATAACAATTGTTAAAAATAAATTGAAACAATAGTTTTATCTTTTTGAATATACGATATACACATTATGGAATACGATATTGAAAAATTGATGTTTCAGAAACTAATGGCGCGTATAAATTACATTAATCAGCTTAAACACATCAAAGACATGAAACCAGTCTTTTAGATTTACAAAACCAGTTTAATTTGCAATCGTTTCGTTTCCTTCGTCCCCGTTCATCGTCACACCTGCGTCTTTCTCCTTTTTTTTTTCCTTGATCACAATTGAAAATCTGTGCCAACGCGTAGCCTCAAGACTCGTTCTGACTCGTTTGACTCGTAAAAGTCCGGTTTGCTTCTCTTTGCCCGGGAACAGAAGGTAATTGCAATTCGTTTAAACGAGTTTTAAACAAATAGGTGGAAACCAGAATGCTAGGAGTGATGATTTATTGCAAATAAAACTGGACAATTTTATGTATACTAATATGAGAAGTAACAAATGGTCCTTAAGGAAATATAAAATTTAAAAATCGATCAAATTATGTCACACGTGTATTAGGATACCACGGTATTTAAACTTTCATTTTCTTTCATAATATGACCCAAATCGTCACGATGGAATTACCCATAATTTATAACTTTTGATATCCTTGTCGCATTAAATGAATCCTGTTTTTCTTACGAAATTTTTCCTTATTCGATTTCAGGTAGCCGATTATAATAGCGGTATGGACATACCAATTCGCATGTACATATTAACCTTGATACCCGCAGTGGTACTGCTGGGACAGGTGCGAAATCTGAAGTACCTGGTCCCATTTTCCATGATCGCCAACATTTGTATGATGGTGGGATTCTCGATAACCCTTTACTACATCTTCATCGGCATCCAGATTTCATCGAACGTGAAATTACTCGCTTCGGTCGAACAGCTGCCCACGTTTTTCGCGACTGTGCTATTTGCCATAGAGGGAATCGGCGTGGTAAGTTGCAAAAAATTCGTATTTATTTAAGAAAAAATACAATGTTGATGTATCGTATAGAATAATGTAAATTAAATAATTTTCTATAGGTAATGCCAGTTGAAAATAGCATGGAAAATCCACAACGTTTCCTCGGATGCCCGGGTGTACTTAATATAACAATGACAATTGTTGTATCCTTGTATGCGATATTGGGTGTGTTTGGTTATTTAACATATGGCGAAGAAGTGAGGGCAAGCATCACCTTGAACATCCCGATAGAAGACCTGTAAGTATTATTTCATTCAATTGTTAGTGAGATTAGGAGCGGTTGTAATTAGTACAGTGTCAAAATGAATCCTCGGACGGCGGACCATGGAGAGAGCCACAATTTTAATTTAATTTCGTGTTTCACATTGTTTGCATTTTCTAAATTTTCCAATGTTCTTTTAAAATTATTCTTCCAATATATCAAACCCTCTGTTTAAAAGTTATACATTGTATCTTTATATATGTTTTGTGATTTTCGGGTCTCGATTGACCCAGTCTCCGTCGTTCAAGGATTAATACAGGTTAGTCTGTATATAAAACGAGCTACTTTCTTTTACAGGCTGGGTCAGGTAGTGAAACTTCTTATTGCATTGGCAGTGTTGTTCACTTATGGATTACAGTATTACGTGCCGTTGGAAATCATGTGGAAGGGTTTGAAAGATAAATGTAGTCACAAATACCAAGGCGTATGTGAAACACTATTGAGGATAGTTATGGCTCTATTAACAGGTAAGAAACTTCCGTTCATTTTCAACTCTATGATCCTCCAATAAATTACTAATTACATACGGACAGAATTTATGAAAAAATAAAATTATTATTAAACAATATTATTATTTTAATCTATTAATTTTTATTAATCTATTTTATTTCTTTTAAGTATCTATCTTGTCAATGTAATTTCTATTAATCTATTTAACTTGCCATTTTAATTATTTTAACACATTCGCATCGAAAAACGAGAATTCTCGTTTTTTACCGACGATTTATATGAAAAATTTGTGAAAAATAACCCGATGGAAATGTGTTAAGTGTCTTCCAAATAAAATACGTTGTTTGACTTCAAATTTAAAAATTATTATCTATATATTTTGTATTGCATTGTTTTTCTTTTAATTTCATGGGTTACATTATATTTATTATTTTTAAACGAGTTGTACACTGGTAGACACAAAATGAAGAAGACATACACCGGTTCAGGTCATAATAACAGGTCACGGTTACCCTTCCGGTTATTACTGATTCACGCCGGTGAACGCGTACCAGACAAGTGTGTTACTTTCTTAAGGAACGAAAGAGAGAAATACAAGTTGTATGTAATGGAAAGATAGACACAGACTTGACCAAGGAAATACCCGTTGGTCCTGTAACCGCATGACTCACTGACGCTTGTAAGCACCGTTCAGTGACTCGTGTTCGTTTACCTCATTGTAAAGCTATGCATTCATGCTTAAGTCCTTGACGTTTTGACTTTTCAATTTAATAACTTCGTTTACGTAACTGATGACGGAAGCAAATGATTTTGTGTCGTATAAATTACTAGTGTATTTTAACACTTTGACGGACACGTGTTCCACACGACTTACGTCTCTTGTTATTGTACGTTCCTGTTACCATCTAAAATGAAGTTATTCATAAATACTCTGAGAAATTATTAGGTGTATGTACATATAAGTTAATTCGGTGACTTTAGTATTACGGCTTCTTACTTAATTAATATTTTGAATTTGAATATTTTCTCGCAGTTTTGAATATTTGAAAAGTGACGAGACAACATAATAATAATAACGATTATTTCAATGATTGGAATTCCTATGGCTTTTTAAAAATAAATCTTTAATCAAAATAAAGAAAAGGCACCGAATTAATTTGTACACCTAATACTATTGTTCAAGGTTAAATTTTGACGTAATAGAGTGAAGATTAATAAGTTATTTTACGAATTAAAATAATTAAAGTTTGACAATATTTTTTTTCAATTTGCAAAATTCTTGTTATTATAAATAACCTAGGAAAAGTGAATTGAATTTTATTTTGTTTTTAACCAAATTTTTCGCTTTTTGTTTTCAGTGGTGGTAGCTCTGATAGTACCGGAACTGGATCCATTTATATCCTTGGTCGGTTCAATATTCTTCTCCATCCTTGGAATCAGTATACCAGCGATCGTTGAAACGATTTCCTGTTGGGAAGGTCACTTGGGTGCCTTCAAATGGAGGCTCTGGAAAAATTTCATCCTAGTAATGTTCTCGTTATTCGCGTTGATATTTGGCTCATGGATCTCCATACTAGACATTATAAAATTGTATCGTTAAACAAAGTGATCCAAGTCTGTCTTAGACTTTTATTCGAAATTTTCAAGACTTAAGTTTGAAGTAGTGATAGAATTATCGAGATTAGAGCTTTTCTAAGGTGCTGCTCGTTCTTTGTGCAGCAATCGTGACAGAGTAATTATTATTATCGCGAGCATTTATTTTTTAAGAGTATCCATGTACATCCTGTATTTATTTTTACATCCCACTTAAGTATTTTCGTTCGTACCATTCCTCTAAGGATTTATTTTTTCTTTTTATGAGGGATCGAAGAAAGAGAAATTTTATTTACTGTAAATAGAAGAAGGATTTTTTTGTTTTAATTATACGCGGAGAAACATATATTTTGGTAAGAATGAAACGATAAAGAGAAGATTTGTTTATTGTTGTAAATATACTTAAGGTACTGTAGTTACATTTTAGAATAATAATTAATCTTCTAAGGTACTAAAATATACAGTTAATTATTTTCTTATATAAAGAGAAGAGACATGTTTGTATAAAGTTGTATAAAATTATTGAAAATTGTGAAATGTACAAAATTGATTTAATACTTCTGACGAAGTCTAAAGTATTAGAATGACTACTGTTAAATTAAATCCTGAGGATGTAGAATTTATCGAGTAACATTGTTGATAAGCATAAGTTGTACATATTATTTTTTTCTTAATAATTCTAGAAAGTAATTACAAAAGACAATCTAAATAATTATACAGAAAATTGAAATTTATTTTCTTATTAAACTTCTCGATTTATCAAACAACTGTTATGGTACCAGAATTGTATAAATTTTTATACTGGGAGAAAAATTAAAATTTACCATCGTTTATGATCACGTAGTGTATTAAAATTATGTAAACATTTGCCTTGGTCTTGGTCCCTGCGATGGTCGTCGTACAACATTATTTAATTGTGAATTCGACGATATAAAAATGGTCTGGGCATTTGTAGTTTTTGGATGCACTTTGCGTTGAGTGACGCCATGGAGAAATATAGTTATGGAAATAATGTAAATTCCAACGACCAAAGGGATATACTGTATGTATCTTATGAAATTTATTAGACGAAGTAGTTGATATGTAAACGATATTACAGATAAAGTTGGCGTGTTTCCCTGTGAAAATATTTGTTAATTGTTTAACCATTGTTATTTTTTCAAAAGTTCAATTATATTAGATCATCCCATAAGTAATCATCATTCATCTTGGATAAAGTAAACAAATACATAAAATATTCCTTTTGAATTTTTAAATAAAAGCAAAGAAACAAATCTTAATGTTTGTACTATTTTTTCATTATTTTATTTGAAAAAAGCTTAACCAGAAATCAATATGAATAATTAAAAATAAAAATGAATGTTTGCACTCTTCTCGACTGATCAAGAAAACGACATTATTTATGGAATGACAATATTTTAATACGTGATTTTATACGATGTACACCGTGATATAATTAAATCATGTGTTTTTGAAAAACTGAAATTAAAAATAAATATGTAAAATGACATGTTTCTAAGAGAATCTTACATTTTCACACCACATGATTGGAAAATATCCTTCACTGACGTTAGAAAGTAACTCCACTGGCTGTCTAGTCAATTTCAAATTCAATTGCGTTTTTTTTTGCCCAGAAAGTGGTGTTCCAGTGTATGGTTCAATGACAATATACGTTTTATGCAGATCTTTATTAGGGACCAAACCGCGAGCATAATTCAGAACTTCTGGATCAGCATGCAAAAAATGTGGCTCTGATAAAATTATAGGCACTTTCTGCAATATATCAAATGTAAATTACCAAGTATAGTTTTCCTATTTTGAATTAGACTTTTAAATTATGAAATACTCGGCTACCCGCGTAATTTTGTCTACCCGGGTATTTTGAGTATCCGGTCCAAATCAATAGCCCTGTTTTCAATATTACCTGACAATTAGTCACGTCGGTTAAACCCTGTGGCAGACATTCTAATTTATTATTTACAATTGGACAGTAACATTCCGAGTGATTTGAAAACCATACCCTTTCCTTCATAATAAATTGAGATCCGGTTATACCATGTATTGAAACGTCGTTCTCATAATCAGCTTCTATAGTCCTATATAAACATATACATATGTAAAACATAAACCTTGCAGATATGTAAATTTCATTAAGTGTTTCCTTAATAGGTGATTAACATTTTACAACTTCCTCATATTTTATATGTATAATTAACATACATGATTAAGAGCAGTGATCAGCTGTGATTTAATATACGTGTGATATTATTTTTATATAATATAAAATTTACATTTTTAGATAATCAACGATACAATACCTGCACATTTCTGGAATAAAAGTTGAAACAAAAGGTAATGGTTCCACTAATGGTGCCCATGTAACAGTATCTGTTCCTTTTACTGTATTACAAGACTCTGTATTCCATAATGTCTGTACACGATCCCCAACATAAGATGTTATATCACCTAATTTACTTATGTCTTGAAGACCTCTAGAAACTGTGAATGGTCCACGTAGAGAACCATTCATCTAATATCATAGAAAAATTTAATATTTAAGTATACAATGTAAATTAATTATACACGTTGAATCGAAATTAGTTTGAAAATTATTAACTAAAATATACCCTTTGGAATATACTGAGATAATAAACGTCTTCCCGATCGCCTTCTCTCAAAACTGGTGGTGGATTTGCTTCTAAAGTATTACATATCAGATTCAGTTCGGGATATTTCTTCCTATTGCACGTAACTTTAACTCCGCCGAAAAGTAGATCTGTGGCTCGAGCTTTTAGAAAAATAGTACTATGATTTTGAAATAATTTTGGAATACTGTTACCGTATTTGTGCATAAAATCAGGTGGTAGAGATGTTAACTATAAAATACGTATTTAATGGATAATGTGTATTTTAATTATAGTTAAGTAATTAATAGTAATTGTTTCATTGGTACTAATATTGTTAACATTACGACTTACAGTTTTTATGGTACCAATGTACGCGGGATTTAATATCGTGACTTTATCGTGTTTAGAAACATTTATACTTTTATATTTGTTGAAAATATACGTAGATCTTGTCGTATATTTGATTTCATCCCTTTCTTCGTCGACTTCTATTATTTGCTTTTCTTGAATTTCACTAAATATGAATAAATAAATTATTGTACATTTAGAAATTAATCTTAATTAAATTGTAAATATCTTTATTAGGTCTGGTTAAAAGTAAAAAATTTGTGAAATATTTCTTCAATGTTTTTACTTACTCGTAACTGAAGGGACCATATTCGATCATACGTGGATTTTCACCCCTCATTACTTCATCAGGGTTAGTAACGTTAAATAAATAACAGGCGAAAGATAAGAGCATAGGTGAAGACCATGCTTCATACTCTTTTGTACCTTCAACAAGCGGCAAGTTCTATAAATTGTTATTTCATTTAGATTAGCCACTTTAGTAATTATGCGATTAATTGTGTTTCAATTGAGATCATTTTTAAAGCATTACTTACTTTTCGTATTTCCTTCGATACAGTCGTTAAAAGTATCTCTTCTGAAATTAAAAATGAACCCAAAAGGATTAGGAAAACACCAATACACAATTGAAAAATCATCAGTCCTATATTATACTTCTTTAAAATATATTTTATTAACAGTATTCACTATTCTTCTCTTTTACTGACAATAATTGTATACCATTTTATTTAACGACTTTAAATATTATTTTTTCACTTATTCTATATTTCACGTAAGAAGATTTCTCCTGGCAAATGAAATGGAAAAGTTCTTGCATAATCTACTTTTATATTAAAATTTCTACGTTTCGTGACTCAGTCTCGTTAATAATAAATAATACCCTTACATAGCTATGTGCGACAATATAAATTATTCACCACTTTATATCACTTAATCAAATCTGAAATTGTAATGCTTAGTATTTTCATATTATAATATATTTAAAGCGCAATCAATATTATACAAAACGTAGTAGGCATCACGGTATAATTGCTTCCGTAAAATAAAGTTTGTACTTTATTGCTTATTTTAACTAAAATAATTCTTTTATAGAATATATAAAGATTTTAATGTATGCCTTATGTGATTTTCTATGAGACAATAATTTTGTATTTTGAACCCCTTAAAAATGAAACTCCGTTATATAATTTACAGAGTAATGTAATATGCAAACAGTGTGCATAGTCTAATGTTATATTATTTGTTTGAAATGTAAAGGGTTAACTGTTTTACCAAGTACAACCCTTCATTAATACATTTTCCACCCACCAGGTGGTCCACCATCGGACAATGTGGGATCAGGCTATGTGCATGCTGGGCAGCAGCCAAAGGAGAAAGAAAGAAATGGCGGCGTTACTTCAATTTTAGTTATTAACTCGTGCTTCTTGCCGTTTTCCTGCACTCAAACGATTTATTTTCTCCTATCAACACCCTCTTTGACCGTAGTTTTGTGTCAGCTTTACGGTGACTTTCGTTGAATTGACAGATCATTCGAACGTGACAAGTATTCGGACGTCATAACCTAACAAATCTCGTTCCGCGTTTGTGTTTAATTAGTGATTGAAAAGGATGGCAATGAACGAGGACTTCAATTTTGCAGAATTGTGCAGACTTTGTTCGTTGAAGAGTAATCATCAGCTTCAGATTTTCGACAAGGAAGGTGAACAAAGGCAGCTACTTTTTAAAATACGTTCCTGCATTCCTGCTGTGGTAAGTCATTTTCATGATTTATGAATCCGAAAATTTCTTTATATCATCAGTTCTTTTTATATTCAACTTATATATCTGATTAATTGATCAATCATTATTTCTAACATCATTTCTTGTTTCTTAATTTACATTATTTACAATGGAAAGTACAGTTTGTAAGCAGGTAGTTTAAATTTGCTTTTTGTTACTGTAAGTCAAATTTTAATTGGATCATCAATTAAAAGTTGAATCTTTTGTTGTATTAAAGATATTATTAGAGTGTCCTAACATTGATCTTTGCTAGGTGTAGTCAGCTTCGATGAAGTATTTTACACAAAATGATTAAAATATACTTTATAATTACTATGACATGATGAGTTTACTTGAGTACATTAAAGTATATTTAATCAATTTGGATTCATTTTATCAGTGCTATTCATTTGAATACTGGCACCTAATTTATTTTTGCATTATCTTTTATTTATCTTGTTACATGTTTCTGTTAAAGAAGCGCTGATTAAAATATAACACTTGAGTACTTAATATATCATCACTATATTAATTAAAAAAAAAGAAAAATAAATAAAATTTCTTTAATGCTTATGACTATCATCATATTCTACCAGCTTATCATTTCAAAAAATAAAATTTGAAATTATTATTTACGATAGTAGTACTGAGTATTTTTTTATACCACTCTTGCTACATGAAAATATTTAAAAAGTTAATTTAAATAGATTTAATGAAAGTAAAAATACATTGATATTTGTGTATCATAAACAGTATTTTTTATTACGATAATTTCGTGTGAATGATGTTACTAAATAATTATAGACTGATATTTCGAAGACTAGAATTTTATCGTAAAAGAAAAAAGAAAGAAATTACCATGACTCCAGAAACTTTCATCAGACCATGTCTTAGAATTTTGATTACGAAAGGTTAAATATCTTTGGGTCATACTTTGATTAAACTATTGCTCTTGAACTTCAATGTAACTGCATATCTGTTATACATATCTCTTAAATAAAACAATTTTAATTTTAAAATTCTCGTTGGGTAACAAATCTGTTTTTGTTACAAAAAGAAAAGAAGGACGAATATTTTAAAGTTACGAAGTGTTCTTAGTTTAGTAGAGATATTATTAAAAAACGAAAATGAATGAAAAGCATTAGAAATTCTGGAATTAAATGTTAGATTTCTGATACTGAAATATTAAACTGATCTTTAACTTTGTATTAGTGTCTTAAATTAGAATATTAAATTTCTATTAAGTTTCTAATACTAGATTCCCGAGTCAATTTAATCCGAACGGTGCAGAAGGATTAAGCATCTTTTTCACCTTAAAATTTTATACTAACATAATATTTTTTTTCGCAGATAACGAAAGAGGATGCATTGCCGAAAAATATTTGCCAGAGATGCGTCTATAAATTGGATATGTTTTACGAATTTCGAGTTAGCTGTATGACGACTGACACGGTGTTAAAAAATTATGCAGATAGTTTGAAGCACCTCGCTGCATCAGTGAATCAGGTAAGTGCATAATCATGTTTTTATTTAAATATATAATACAATATTATAGACATTAAAATTCTGATTTAATGATTTCACAAGTACTTATATTTCAAAATGTTTTATTTGAAAAAGGGTTAATACCTCTGATAGAAATTTTGCAATATTAAAATAACGTAAAATTTGCCTTTCATTTTACATAGAAACAACAATTTCTATTAATTCATAAATTAAATAAATGACCTATAATTTTTCTACATATAATATTATCTTTATGGTAAGTAGAATTTATTAGTATCAATATTCTGCGACGTTTATCACAAAAAGTCAAGCAATTAATAATTCATCAATCGAGTAAAATGAGAAAAATATGAAATAAACAGAACAATTTCCACCCACGATCCCTTAAATCCCTTTAAAAGAAGACCTTTTTCATCACGATGATTAGCGAATGTATAAATCGTAGAACAATCGAAAGTAAACACCCAGTGGTACTTTCGAATAGTCAGAAAGCCTCCTTGACTCCCCCGGAAGAGAGGCTGCATCCTACTCGAATGAATGAAACGCGGAGTCATGGAAAGGGGGCAGCAGAAAGTGCCTACTTATAACGTTATCGTTAAATATAGCAACAAACGAGCGACATGTAGCGATACTCGTTTACAGGTACCGGTTTATTTGCTCCTAATTGATTTCACGAGACACGAGAGACGCGTTTGAGCTTCGCTACCACGTGGTTTACGACTGGGGAGCAAGTGGTTCACGAACGAAGGAGACAGGGCGCTTTAAAGGTAGATTAGAGGTCTGGCATAAAGCGGCATCGTATCGCGACACTCGAGCAGACAGAGAGGAGGTTTTTGCTGATTTTTCTTTCGGACTCGAGCGAGAATTTATCGTGCCGCTATAAGCTGTAGGACACGAATAGCCAGAAGGAGGAAGCGTACGCGTACGGTCCCGGCTCGTACGTATTCTAGGAAGTACGCAGAGGAGACTCTTTACAAGCTCGTAAACTGGCGCGGCAATTTCCGACACGACGCGTTAAAGTGACTTTATGCGTCGAACGAGTGGCCGACACGAGTTCCACATTTCGAGCCGCGTAAAAAGCCCTTTACGCGACACGCGCGTTCGCGTTCTACCACCTCTTCGTCCCTTCTCTCTCTCTCTCTCTCTCTCTTTTGCACCCTTATTTAAACGTTGATCTCGGTGCCCGCTGCTCGATAAGCGTCGCGCGAAGGGTGCGGGAAAGAGTCGGAGAAGAAGGAGATGAAACGAGGGGCGTCGCTGATCGGTAGCTCGAGGTCCTCGCTACTCTCTGTCCCGCCACCCCGTTCGTTGTTCGACCAAGCATGATCCGAATAATTCCAGCCCTCGCACACGCGACTCTTCGAGCAAGAGACCGTCGCGTAGGCGGAGGGGATAATATACGGATAAGCAGACACGGATGAACAGATAGGGCAAAAGGGAGAGAGATGAGGCGCGGGGGTAGTCGGCAGCAGGATAGAGGGTGGTTTGTACGTGCACGCACGTACGTGTGTGCAACCGTCGCGGTGCTATTGATCGACGCTCCGCAGCTAGGCTGCGTCGCGCACAGAAAGCGAAAGTCAGTTCTCCTTTTCTTCGACGTCTCGCCTAGTCCTCTCTTTTTCTCTTCCTCTAACCTTCGCTAACTCGATCCTCTCTCTCTCTCTCTCTTATTTCCTTCGCGTCTTTTACCCTTTCGTCCTTCTTTCACCTGTTCATCCGATCCCTTTACCTTCTGCGCGTCTGCTCGTTGCCCAATCGAAAGATCGTTCGATCCCCTCCCTGGCCGGTTGGCCCTTTGGGTCTCCTTGTCCCGGGCACAGGTGCAACGAGGAGCCAGGCGTGCACCTCTGAAAACCTGTTTCGAGTTCTCGAATACCCTGTCCGTAAACGGTCGGCCAAGTCTCGTTACCCGGCTGATCGTTGATGCGGTCAACCGAGAGTTAGGGAGCAAAGAGGAGAGATTAGGATACGGCGATACTCTCGTAGCTATGCTCGCAAGACCGAGACGTTTTCGTATCGCCTAATCGCCCATCCCGTTCACCGATACTCTCCGTCATATCTCTGTGGGTACGGTTTTCCCTGTTCGTCTGTCCGCTTGCTTAACCCTCTCTCTCTCTTTCTCGCTCGTTCAGTCAATGTCAGTGTCAAGGTCAGCGGGCCGACGCACTGCAGAGCGCCGCCACCGCCACCGCCACCGCCGCCGACGCCGCCGTCGACTGCTGCTGCTACGCTGCTCTCTTCCGTCATTGTGTGTATCCGGCAGGCGAGTCACTCGGTAGTCTGTGTACACGACACAAGAGGTATACACGAAGGTCTTTTCGCGAGCATACTTGCCTCTCTAGGGCGTCCCTGCCTTTCTCTCCCTCTTCCTCTCCCCCTCTCGTTCCTCACTCGTTTCGTCTTCTTCTCTCCCTCTAGTTTCCTCGTCGTCGCGCCGGCCACGATGCATTCCGCGGGGATCTCCACTCGATATCGTTGCACCGCGCCGTCTCGTTCGCGTATCGTTTCTCCCGAGCCTATTCTTCTTTCCCTTCGACCCGTTCAGTATCGTTCAGTGCCGGTACACGCACCCATCCGCGCCAATTTCGCCTCCGCATCGTGACACGCCGATCGAAACTGAACGTTTACGCCAAGTTCGCGGGTACTTGGTGAGCTCCCAGTGTTCCTTCCATTACCCAGCTGGTTACTTGTCCCGTTTTCATCCGATCGGTACAACTCCCTGTGTGGTCCTTCCTCGCAGCACGTCGCCACGGTGCATTCCGCGGTGGACCTCCACTCGATATCGTTACGCCGCGCTTGCATCCTGTCACCGGCTATCTCCTCCCGCTTCTCTCTTTGTCTTTTCTTCCTTTCTACCTTGCTCCCATAGACTAGCTTCTTTCTTTCTTTCTTTCTTTCTTTCTTCCTTCGCTTCGCCCTTCGTTCTTCCCTCCTCGTCGCTTAGAGGTTTAACCCTCTCCCTCCCTTTCCAGCATACGTTTTTTCGTCTCTTTGTCCTTGCATCCTCCCGCGCCGGGAATCGGCGGCTAGCTCCGCGGGACACACTCCAGTTGCCCCGTAAACGCGAGATTCTTTCGTGACGCCGCGAAAAGGAACACGCGTGTTCTCGCGCTCGAGCTCGTCATCGGGTTTAACGTACCGCTACCACTCTGGACTCGTCTTTCTTCATTTTCCGGTATCGAGTTGAAGGAAATTTCAATTGTTATGAACACACCTTCTGGGACACTTATCGTGATGTGCCGTTGAGTTACTCGTCGGTGAGGTCGTCAGTGGTATCATTCCTCGAAGAGGACATCGAGAGTTACGATTTTCCTGCCGAGCGGGACAAAAGTGTAGGTAGGTGAGCCAGTAGATCGGAGCGATAACGTTTGTTCGTCTTTTGTGAGAAGCTTCGTGTCTGGCTCCGTAAGTTAAACCTCTTTTCTTCTCTTTCTCTTCTTCTTAGCTCTCCCGGTTGCCTCTTCTCTTGCACCCGTTTCCTGTCTCTCTCTTTTCGGTCATCGTTCTTTCCCCGCGAGGACCTTGACGGAGCAGCCTGCCCGGAGAAATCTTTTCGGCTCCTTCGAAAGTCCCTGTCTTTTATGTATTCGATGTCGTCCCAAGAGGATGCAGACTTTTCTGATGCTTCTCGATGATACCGGGATCCTCTTGGCTCATAACCAGTCCTTCGCGAAGGAATGTCACGTGGACGAAATTATCGTATACTTGATTTTCATTCTATAATTATAACGCGTGTTAAATTTTTTACTCCGTTCTGTTAAAATTCAAGCCTGAGTTGGATGATTTTTCAAAAATGATACTGTATAATATCGGTATTAAAACAAAGGAAACTTTCAGTCGTTTTCTGTATATTGTACCGTAAAAAGACGTAGAAGTTTCATTTAACCGAACAAATACTTGAAACTGAGTTTCTGCTAAATATCGATTATCGTTAATAGATATTTGGCACTGAGCTCGCCTCTGTGCCAGCTCCGCTCCGTTCTATTCCCCGTGATTAATCGTTTTCCCATATCGGTCTGGAAGCTGCTACGCTTTTCTCCACGAATTGACAGAACCGTCGTGAAATATTGTCCCTTGTTACGAATGGCTTTTGATTTCACAATTACATCTGCCAGCGTTGTTACCATTTTCGCTCTCGCTCGTTCGCCATTGGAATTCACCTCCTCCTTCGTTTTTTGATATTCCACTTCTAATCTTATTTTGAAATATTAACGTCACCGACGAGAAACCGAGATATCTCCGAACCGATGATATTGCCTAACTGTATTGATAAATTCCGACATTAACATTTTCGAAGCAATTTCATCCAAAAGTTTCACAATGATAAAACGGTAAATTTCCTCGGAACAGAACGGAACTACCGTTTAATTTACATAATGTATCTCTGTATAACAGTTTGGTCAGTTGAAAGTTGACCGTAAGTGAAAGTACAGTAACGGTAAATAAATAATTAACAGGTGACGGACAAAGACAAGATGTCTAATGGTAGCCAGCAGCAGCAGCAACAGCAGCGATCGGCCTACGTGGAGGCGCACGCGGTGGCTCATGCCGCAGTACAGCAACACATGGCACAACAAGCTGCACAAGCGAGACTAGCCGGACCTGGACCACCTGCGACGCCTCAAACACCTAACCCGACCTTCACCCTTCCCGATGACGGTTTAGGCTACGATGATGGGGTACGGGTGCTTCGTTCCATCGGGACCTGGTGAGTAATTTCGTTTCTGGGGCCGCTGGGCCTAATAAAATAGACGTACGATCTTGGCATAGTGGACTAAAGGAATATTAATGTTGATGATTACTGAAATAGGTCTCCAGATTACTCGGCAGCAATGCGACCCGGTGGAGTGATGCCTCCTTTCCCCGGTGCGATGGATCAACAGTTTGGGAGCAGGGCTCCGACAGTGAACCAGCCATTAAGGACAACAAACAATGTAACTTCACGCCCAGGATTCGCGTCAAAGGCTACCAATACAGGCGAACCAGCGATAAAGGCGTTCGCTTGCACAGTCTGTGGTAAAGGCTTAGCCCGTAAAGACAAACTCGTCATCCACATGCGTATTCACACTGGAGAGAAGCCATATTCCTGTGAAGTTTGTGGTGAGTCTGTGGAAATTGCCCTTTATGTTTCAACTATTTCAGTTTAATTAATTTCGCGATGGTCCTAATGTGTACAGGAAAGGCGTTTGCACGTAGAGACAAGCTGGTTATTCATATGAACAAGCTCAGACATAGACCTGGAGTAGCGCCTCTCTCTACCCCCACGGCTCCCAATTCGGATCAACAACAGCAGCAGCAGCAACAGCAGCAACAAACTCAGCAACAGCAGCAGCAGCAGCAACAACCACCACAGCAACCACAGACACGTCAGGATACTATACATAAGTTGAAGGAGGAACCTGTTAGTTGGGCATGTGAATTATGCGGTAGAGCATTGGCTACGAGGGAGGAATGGATGCAGCATGCTAGGTAATGTTTCTTTATATTAACTTATTAATTTTCTATGTTTCTTTCTCCGGAATTGGGACGTTTTGTTATTTACACAGCGAGGGGATTTATTATTTGTTTTTACTAGCAGAAAAGTTAGGCCATAGGGGGTTAAGGGTCTGCAGGAGTGACAGTGGCACCTCTAGCGGAGTAGTAGTGAAACGTGAAAAGTAGTATTTATGCCAACATGGATCGTCGAAGTTCCTCAGTTTCGCCGTATGAGGCTCCCACAATCAATTCAGACTTGAGACATCACTTCTGTTGACCCAACAATACTGTTGTAGATAATGTAATTTTTTTTTTTAGTTGTAATATAATTTAGTTAAATATTCTCTGTTATTATTACAGATCTCATTTAGAAGCATCTGCTCCGCCACAGCACGCAGCGCCATATTTTCCAGGATCCGCGCCTCCGCCGCAACCGTACGCATCAGAAAGGCACTTCTGCCTGATGTGTCGTACAGATTTTACAGATAAGGCTGAATTTATGTTCCACGTACGTTCCCATTTCGAACCTCACGCGCAGCAAACGCCGCCACAACATTCGAGTGGCAAACAAGCCGGCGATCCAGCGACCGCGGAGCTGATCGCACGCGGTCTGGTCGATCCTTCGGGATTATGCAGCTAGAATTATCCTTCCTGTAATTACACGCCATCGATTCGTGTCTTACCATAGTACAAGTTCACTACTCCATTTTGACCAGGACTTTTACATAGGATGTCATGCATATTGTGATTGTAATGAATATACTGATTTATTAACAAGAGGTGCACAGTAGTATATTCATGTACAGATATAAATACACTCAATTCCGGTGCTTCTTTTGTATTTTCAGGGATATTTAAACATCGTTAACATATTTTCTACCAGCACCCAATTGGACATTCAATTTGATCATCGTTGAATACCAATTTATTTTAAAAAAATAATTTAATATAATTTTTAACTGTATACCTCATTAATATATTATATTATATTTTTAGCTAATATGATAAAGTTTGATTTTTATCTGTTTTAAAGTATGAGAAATCGCTGGTAGCGAATGTGTTAATTAATTGTTTCAATATTGCACTTCCGTATGTAGTCATTCGATCGCTGGTAATAAGTCAATAGTTACAAAGCGCTCGCATAATTTCTGGCAAGAAAGAGGAATAGTATTTTTCACTCACGCAACATATCACATAACTGAAAAATGTATAGAACTTGAATGATCATAAAAATACTACTGTGTATCCCGAATATGCATGGGCGCGGTGGAATTCGTGATACATGGTGCACAAAGTATCGCCATTTTCTCACTTGTATCACTTATTTCACTGTACTCTTTGTAACGAAGACATAATACGTTATTCGTCAAATATTTAGGTATTGACGCGGTACTGATCTCTGCTATAATTTCACTATTGCGTCAGTATTTAAGTGTGATTACTTAATAGTATACGTTCCTACATAGCTAGCTTCCCGCCGTTTTTAGCCATTAGCAGTATCCGCAATATCAGATGTACAGGTTTGTTCTCAATGCTATCCTGTTTGTTCATTTTATTCGTGAAATAACTGTTTTTATGATTATATTGTTATTTCAGCGACATACAACACAATGCGTTACAATTACAGGTAACTATATAACATTATATAGTTAAGTAGTTTGTTTAACACATTGTCTGCCATGATGTAGGTGTTGAAAATTTTATTAGGTAAAATTTTAATTTTTAACAAATATTTACAAAAAAATTTCTAATAATATGGATAGTGGAATGCCATAGAAATTTAACGTATTTAACTTGGGACAATTTTTTGTCTAAGGGGATGGATCTAATTTGTCAGGACTTAGATCCCAGGTTCGTCTCACAGAGAGTAGATCTACGGTCTTCAATCACAACGTATCAAGTGTCACCCACATGTGGGTGATGTGGCAGTCAACGTGTTAAACCAGAAGTATACGATCATGTTTTTATATTATTTTCTTGATCATGTGATTCGTTTCCTTTTTTTCATTAAGCTCGATGATCTTCCAAAGGCAGTGTATTATTAGCCGCATTATCAATTTGTAATACCAAACGTGTAGTTTTTACTGTGGTATAGAGTAAGTGTTGACAATATTACTGGTACAAACATCTCCGGATGTTTATATTCTTAATCGAGTCTAGAGCAAGCGATTGATTATTTTTAATTATCGAATCTTTTTACTGTACACTTGAAATCTTGTTTCCTGTTATTAATCACTGATCCTCGGTACCTGATGTACCAACGTGTACTTAATCAGGGAAGAAACAAAAGTTGGTTTAATCTAACAATTTTATAACGAATGCAATTTTTAGATTTTCTTTTTTTAAATTGTACATTTGATTAGAGTTAGTGTTTCGTTTTTAATTGTCTATCTGAACGGTCTGGCGTTATTCTTGTGAAATATTGTTAGAATCTCGAAGGACAATAATTAAACGTCACTCCATTTTTATTTCTTTATCAGGCTACAGTATCACGATACAATATTATTGTTTTGTCAAGTGTCTCGTAAGAGAGACTGCATTGTGAACAAACTGTCTCTTACCGATTAAACTTCATAGAATTCGCTTGTACAGCGCTTATTTCCTCTCGTCTTTAGAATAGGATTTTTAGATAGCCAGCGCGATCATATTTGCGAAACTGCCGTGCCTCCTGCCTCACGTACCATCCCACTTCCGGCTTCTTTTCGATCCAAATTCAACTTCCGGGACAACGGTGCCTAAAATGGTATACTTCAAAAAGCTAAGCCTACCCGTTAGGTATATATTTTGTATAATTCTAACTAGTGCAATATAGAGTTAATCGAGTTGACAATAGTTGCAAATCGTTGCGAAGAAAAATTTGTACGGAATGTTTAGAAAAAATTTTGTCGAAATTTAGAAATATATTTAGAAAAATGTTAAATGACATATGGATTTAAAAGTATTTTGTTTTTGAATTATTATAGGTAACAATTTCTCTGTTACTTATAAAACGATTATGTTAATTATTTTAATCCATCGAGTGTTTTCTTGTGAAAATAATTAATAACAAATTTTTAATTAAAATGCAACTTAAATGAATTTACATTTATTGAATGTTTTTTTTTCTGTGAAAAATATTGATTTAAAAATAACAGATTTTAAATTGCAAAACAATTTCAAATTATTTACTATTAATTAAGCACAATCTTTTCTAAACATTGTGTACAGAAGATAAAAGTGAAGAAAACGACAAAGTTTGCGAGTAAGAAGAAAAGAAGAAACCATTCGCGCGACGAGCAGCGTCGTTTATAGCGGTTTAATTAAAATCGATGTAAAAAGAAAAGAAGAAAACGACAAAAAAAAATACCGGCCTTTCGTCTAACGCAATTGTAATGACATTTTTTACATAGTTTGTACGTATTTAGAATAACAAAGCGTTCGAGCCTCGAGAAAGAAAGTTACGCCTCGTGGGTTCGCGTCGAAACACTGAAAATCTCAGTGATTTTCATCGTGTCAGAAAAATGTTTTATGTACGATCGGGAATTTGTGCGCGAGAATTTTCACCTTTTTGATATTCCTGTATCGTGTATGATCAACGATACCTATCGGGAACATGCAATTAAGGAGTGTAACCAGCATGAAGGTGCAATTAAAAGCTGATCCGCGGTCAGATTTTCAGGAAGTAGCATGTCTGAGTATGTAAATGCTTGGCATAGAAGAATGGAAATCGTTAGATCGCAATAAATCCATCGTGGATCTAGCGTGATCTATGTTTTCTGAATTCATTCTTGTTTCTAAAAAGGATTCCGTACAAAACGATGATCATTATCGGTGACGTAAAGACGTAATGATTTATACTGTAGTACTTTGTACGATCAGAGTGGAATGCTATATTTGATAGACGTATATAGTGCCTTTTCTCTGGGACTTGAAATCCGACTTTGCTCTGATCACTTGAAAAATTGAAACGTGTTGAGGAGGCACATTGGCATAAGATTTGAAAACAAAAAAAAAAAATATGAAATGAAATTGTACGATAAGTTAGATTATAGAAATAAGGTGATATCTGTTTTTCTTTTTAATGATTTTTTTTCCTTTTTATTCTTTTTGTTACGAGGGGTGAATATTCGATGCCACTGCCTCTAAATAGCAGCTGTTTTAGACTACTTTTATACTGTTGATGTCGCGCGCAGCTAATCAGAGTCAGTATGTTACTGCCATAATCATGAAACAAAATGTATAACCAATATACCTTTATAAATAAAACACGACTGAAAAAGTAACATTTCTTCGTGTGAATATTATATTTTTTGTTTAAGATTTTTATATTTTTTTAGCTAGCTTGAAATAAACCTGTAATGATAGTGCGAGGGTTAATGAGTGACAGTGGTTTTTTTTAGAACCATGGCACTCTTATCCAAATTATTACAAAAATAACAATCTAAAAAGTGTAAATTCTACACATGAAAACAAATTAAAAATTCCCTTATCATTTTACAATTTGCAGCCTCGTTTTTGAAATATAAATAATTGAAAATTTAGTATTTTATAAAAATGGTATAATAATATACCATTTTCACCGGTGCAATTAATGCGTCAAAATATGAAAAATTTAATTGCAGTCCTTCGGCAATGTATGACAGGTTGGCAGGCGTAACACGGATGCAGGGTAGAGTGGTTCAATAGATATGTAGCCGGTGCATGCAGGTTGCATCCGGCACGAGCTGCACCCGTTTTGCCATAAATTAAATCCACGATCAACTTTCTTAAACGACATCGACGACGTGACACGAAACGTTACGGTATGCATTTCTTTCGGCCCACCTCTAAGGTTATTGAGTTCCTGCTTCGATACGGCTGGTTCGCCTTGCCATACCGCGCCCACTATGGGTACCGGTAAATGGACGCCCGGTCAAACTGCATTTTTCCCTTCGTTCAGCTGCACCGGTATTATTCGCGAGCCTGGATAATGAGATAATCGTCCCTTTGTTTAAAGCTTTCCTTCCGTTTCGACTTAAACAGCTTTGTCACATAGACTTGCGTCTGATGATGTACATTGCTGTCCGTAAGTCAAGGGATATTTATAATTAACAATTGGAACTGACCATTTTAGGACTTAAGAGATATTTCCAAGATATGTTTTTATAGGTTTTGTGTAGACTTGTAAAACAACATTTAAGTAATTTAAATTTTATTGAAATGCAATAATTACAATAAATACAGGTACAGGTATAAAATCAAATTTGATTTAAAAAAATTAATTCGTTAATCGTTCATAATGTCAGGGAGTTGTTTCAAATATACTGGGACATTTTTAGGGCTATAAAACATGTAAATTTTCATATTGTTCCTTTTCATTATTATATTGAAAATAATTAATATTCAATAATAGACAATTTTTATACATCATTTACAGAAGTTTTCATTTTCAAATGCTTGGGAGTTTTATATTTACATTAAAAAGTAAAACTCTAAGAAATTATAAATTAAAATTATAATAATAATATAATATAATCTTAATTTCAATTAAAATAAAATCTCTATCTACAAAATTGATAAAATACACAATAATTAAATTATATTTCATTAAACGCAATAATCACTGTGAGGATTTTACAAGTTCTTGTATCTGATTGATTCATAGTGATTTATGGATCAGGCTACGATCACGTATCCTCCTTTTTAGATCGTGGGATCCTCCAGTTTGTTGCGATAGCATGGAGAACGCCAAAGGTTGCTGAATGAAAGTAACGTGACCCCAAAGTGCGCGGGATCGTGGTCACATTTATAAAAGAAATAATTATGCAAAACGCAGGGCGTCAACCAAGAAAATCCCACTGACTATCATTTACAAAATACCAAACATATAATTTATTCTAAGGAGAATCATTTTTCTGCTTAATTGCTTATAATTGAATGAAGTGGAAAATTATAATAAGTTAAATTTCATTATGAATTTTGCAATAAAGATGACGACAATTGAAATACATTATCGAATTATGATATTTTGTAAATATTGTATTATTGTGATGTTGTGTGTTTAACCAATGAAAGCACAAACGAAAGAAGACATTTCTTTTAATTAACAAGGAAAATGCATTAATTAATTTATCACATTTCTAAAAAGGAATTTATGTAAAATTCATATAGCCTTCTTCCAGGAAGTTCAACTTGTTCCCTCTTGTACACCTTGTGATAAGATTATGGACAAGGCTCTGCTAACCCACAATCTCTTAATTATAAATGCATACGCATGAATAATTCAGTATCCAATAATTATTTCCGTGAATGTTATTCATCAGATTTTAACAGAGGTATAAATTTTAGATAAATTAAGAAGTAATAAATTAACAATTATTAGATTGACGACTAAATTCGTGTCTTTTTTATATATTATATATCAAAGCTACCCTAATAACTAATAATTAGAACAGGGTAACTTTTCCTAGCTGACATCCACCACATCAAAAGGGTTAATAATTGATTTCAATAAGGTATGCTTCGTAAAAATTTGGATAAATACAAATTTATGCTTGGGTGTCAGCTTGAAGTGTTTAAATATAATTTCTGACTTAACTTTTACTGAAGGTGTACGAGTAGCCATCTGGAGTCCTATTAAAATTCAGTTTCCCTGGTGGATAAAATCTTCGAGGTGGTGGTGTTGTAATGGCGTTGTATTGTGGCAATGGCCTTGCAGGGGGTTGATACTGTGGTCTGGGGTTGTGATATGAAGGAATAGATTGAAATTCGGGTGCAGGTTTGTACTGATATTGCGGCTGAGGTTGATACACAGGTTGTGGTTGAGGTAGAGGTTGAGGTTGAGGCTGAGGCTGAGGCTGAGGTTCGTACACTGGTTGACTTGGACGTTGATACTGCTGTGGAGGCGGATCGTATCTTGGTGACTGATAATCAGGTGGATTGTATCTTGGTGGTTGATAATCAGGTGGATTGTACTGTGGCAGAGGCTCATATTCCGGTCGAGGTGGAACTTGCGGAGGTGGAACAGGGATACCATCTCCAGTAGCCTGAACAGATAAAATATAAGTTAATAAAATATAAATTGTTAATTAATTAAAAAAAATTAAAATCATTAATATTTAAGTGTAACTTTCATAAAGAAATCAAATTAAAACAGAAAATCACCAAAACTTTAACAGGAAAAGCTTAATAGAAAAATGAAAGATTTAATGAGGTACTCCAACGTACATACCTGAAAACCATTTTTACCAGCAGTGTACGTCACCGTACGTCTTTGACCCGTCGGATCAACGTAGGAGTAAGACCCACGACGATTTCCATAAACGTCGCTTTCTTCTTTGAATTCCACGCCATCTTCTTGCGAATAAGCGGCGCCAAAAGTCCCGTCTCCGGCTAAATATCTCGCATCACTTAAAATTGCTGCCTGTTGCGGTGGTTGGTGTTGACCACTCGACGATTGACACGATATCAGTGTGACAGTGCAGATTAACAGGGTCTAATTAATTCAAATTTGAAACTTTAACAGAATTCCTTATTAAATATTTAAAATAAGCAATTAAACGTTTTTTAAATAAACTACATGGTATTGCAAGTGTATCACAGATATGAAGTGCAAGTGATCCACTATTGGTACAATGATACAATGCGCCCTGAGTAGTTTGATACGAAATTGAGAGTAAGTACTCACGAATAGAGTATCCATAATGGAGTGACAACAACAACGTGAGGCGATGAGAAGTACAACAGTGCCGGAAGAATCATCGAGAGGGGCGTTTTATATGGCACATTGGATCACGTTGACCTGAAAAGACCTTGATAGTTGCCTGCACGCCCTGGCTCTAGAATAATGCAGATTGCACTATGATCTCCTCCCACGCCTTTCGACTACCACTCAGCTTTCCTCCTGGTTACTTGCACTGACATTTCTTGGAACAAAGTTCTCACTGTCGAACTATAGTAAACATTTGCATCGCCATTGGTGCAAGAATCTTTTCGGTATTTTATTTATCCCTTGCATCGCTTGTTAGATATTTCAGTAACAACTTATTAACAAGGAGCAATTGAAAATAAATGTTGTTGCGTATCTTGATTATATCCACCGAGCAATATAGATCTAAAAAAACTAGACATGCTTTTGTTTTCAAGGGGTTTTGAATTTGTCCTTTGAGAACGGATGCCATCTGTTGTATCCTAGTACAAACATGTGAAACACTTCGCACTGCAACAGTCTAACATATGTTGATGGTAATAGCAGATTACTTCGATATCAAAGAATATATCCCATCACTGGCAATCAGTCATTCTTTTATATTAGTGTCTGCGCTCGCGGCTAGATAGCAATAGTAGTACATACTGTTTTCATAGAGCGCGGTAGTTTTTAATTTAAAAAAACATAAAAATAGTAGTAGCAAAATATTCTCAGCTTTTTAAATTAATTAATTTAAAATAATAGAATCTCTCTGACTGGTGTTGAAGCATTTAATTAAAAAATCTTTTGTTATTGTACCATAATAACTTAAAATACTCCGACAGAATATATAATAAAAACTGTTATGCAACAATATGTGTTAAAAATGAAAGTGAATAAAAAATTAGCACCTGGATTTTACCCATTTCACTTTCCTTTAAAACAGTTGAAAATTGTTGCAAATTATTACATAATAAAACAGTCTAATTATACTTTCATTGTATCATTTTACAAAAAGATGTGTGCAGCTGATATTAAGCGGTGATGGTAAGGAACGCATTAAAGTCGAACACCTTTCAGTAAATGCATTATTTCCGGTATATCGTTCACACGAGCACCGAGTAATCTTGTTTTTCCGGCTAGATTACAATCTAGCGTTGCTTTGAATATCTGGTTTAAGAAACAAATATAGTAGAATTCAAAACAATTCAAATACTATAAAAATTATAATTATTTTTCAAAAAAAAAACGAATATAGTTTAGTCTAATTAATGATGAAAGATTTTCCAAATGAACGATGGTAACAAATGCCTGAAAGACAAAAACCTTTCGGTTAATGCACCATTTCCGGTATACCATTCGCACGAACAATGAGTTAATTTGCTTTTCCGGTGTATACAGGTTGTTAACACGAATCGAGCCGAGTTGCGTTCTATTTTTGAGTAGTTCGATGGAAACGCAGTTCTTCCTCAGCCGATAGACTTTCTCCGTCTGTTTCCGTGCAACGAATCTTTTTTTCTCGTCGTGCCTTTCGAATATCATCGAGGAACTTTCCTCATCGAAGGTCCCCGTTTTTTGATCCGGCTGTAGCAGAATCTTTTTTCCGTCACCAATTAACTTGTTGATTCAATGTGTCTTACAACCAGATCGTTCGTTTTCGAGGTCCCTTCTCCATCGTGACCGATGAAATTATCCTTTCGAAAAGGAAGTTGATAGTTTTTACAATGGCTCGTTGGAAAAACACTATCCAAGGTGAAGCAAGGCGTGGAAAGTCCCGTTTAATGAACGGGACTAACTATGAAGATGTAAAAAGAGCTCGTATGTGCCGTTTGCTTTCTCCTTGCTCTATTTTTCTCGGGAACGCAATATATGAAGAGGTATTTGCTTTTTATAGGGAAAACGTTGCTTACATTTATGTAACTTGCTCTCGTTTTCTTGCATTTCTAAATGATTCCAAAAGATATTAATTATAAGATGTTTCTCATGGGATGGGTTATTAGGGATCCATGGTATCTAGCAAAGATACAAATTTAACCGTCTGAAAGTTTATCACTAACATCACGACAATTTATATTTAATTTTAGACTCCTTTTCATTTCCATTTTCTAAATTTTAAACTATTCTACTTTTTTAAACATTATTTTTCAAAAATATGAAAATTTTCTGGATTGCAATGGAATTAGTTAATCCTCGCACCCTAAACTCAGAGTTATTTTGACCTAGTGTATATATTACTATTTTAAGTTTTGTATATAATTATAATAGTATTCTTATGGGTCAGAGCGATCCTGTACTCCACCATTGCATCACTCATTCGTCTTCCAAGGGTTAAAGAATCTTTTATAAATTAACAAAAAGAATGGAGTAAAGTATATCTTAAATAAATTATATCCTGCATAAACGTTCTAATCGTGTTCTAATATCAAACTCTATAGTTTCTCATAAATTTCAATTCATATGTGGCAATAACAGAGATCAAGGAATATCCAGTTCATATTATTGAGACATAATATATGTACATTCACATCTGTTGCAAAACATATTGTAATCTATGATGTGAATCATAGTCTGAATTCATCTCTTAAATATGTAGGTACTTTCACCCATGGATTGCTAAATGCAGAATACTTTCCTATTTTTCTATTGATAATAAAAAATTTTATCTTCTCGTTTACTCTTGTCTGACTAAATCGTATTCGAACAAAGAAAGTAACAATTAATTACATTCTACGGTAACACGTAATAACGAGGAACGTTGGATGAATTAATTATGGATTTGCAGGAACAGAAATTGCTGTCAAAAGCAAAAGTTACGTTACATTCTTGTGTACCTTAGAACAGTGTAACGTAAAAAACTTCCTGCTTTCGTACTTTTCCCACTCTTTCCAGAAGTACGTGTCGTAATGAAGGTAACGAGGATCTGGTAATTTCGAAAATTACTGTGATTTTTCAGTCATCGTAAAAAAAAATGCCGAGGTTTGCCTCCTTAGAACTCTGGTTTATGAGGTTTTTCAGAGTTCCTTTAGAACCTATTACTGCTCCCTTCTATTATGTTCAAATAATATCCTCTAATTTTGTTCGCACATTTTTTTCACTGTAATCGACTTGATAAATTTTCGTCCCGGAAATCAGTTCCGAGAACCGTTCTTTCGTAACGAGAAAATAACATTTTTGGTCATTTTTGTTGAAAAAATTGATCACTAAACAGTCCTTCGCATTAAAAATTGAAAGTAATATTAAAACTTTCAATTACAGTTATTATTGTAATAAAATTTCTTGATTATAAAAGGATTTAAAATTCATTTTTGTTATCAAATTCTTCTTATTGTAACTTGTTAATCATAATTACTATTTTAATGCAACTTCTCACTCGAAGACATTAATCTTGTTATCATGAAATCACGTACCTTAGAATTAAGATTCTGTGAAACTTTCTCTTTAAATCAACCAATAATTATCTACTTGACTAAAAATGTACGAATAGAATAATTACGTTGCACTGCTGAAGACATCAATTTCTGCATATACACCATTCCTCGTTAATTAATTTTTTGTAAAGGTGCATTTACTGATGCACTTCCTATGAAGGACATATATCCGAAATATAATATTTATTCATAGTACCATATTAATATGGTGTCAAACATATAATTTTACTATTTTAGCAGCAAGATTTTCATAAGTACCTTAATTGTTTGAATCAAATTAAAGAGTACATTAAAATGAGTTACACAGATTTTGAATCAGCTTGTATATAAAACTGATATATTTGCATTGAATTGCATGTTCACTCTTGGGACACGGGGATGCATCCGAAGATAAGCCGTTATTTACAGTCTGTCCTGTTGCATTTTTATGCACTGGAAAGTTCAGGGGCGCAACAATGGTACTCAATCGTGTTGATTCAAAATTTTCGAGGAAACTCGATAATTTTATCGTCGTTTCTTGTTTTTCCATACAAAGTATCCTAGATTCTTTTAACAAAGGACAAGAGTTTATTCTGTAGATGCAAATAAGAATAAAATGTTAAATTGGAGAGAATCAATCTCTTCAATGTTTATTTACTGAGAATTTTGAAATAAAAGATTTTTTTTATTAATTATCACATATTTTAACACTCTGTACAGTAGATGATTTTTTATTCTACTGTTTTGAAATTCGTCGAAGTTGTTATTAGCTTTCATCAATAACTGCGATTTAAAGCAATTATTATAGGAAACCGTTTACACGTTGTAAAAGTCGTATACAATCTGTATGCAAAAAACCGCACATGGGAGAACAGCCTTTGTCTTTCTTCTGAAGTTATTGCATCCTGATTACTATTACTCTGAAACTGTTTTTTAATTTGCAGAATAATACCTGTTATGATGTGTAAAGTATAGCATGAGGATTTATTATGTAAGTTGGAAAATTAGATCATAATTCCACTCTATTATTTAATACCATATTTAGTGGTATTGGTGATTATTATTATAAATTATTAAATTCCATAAATGTTGCTTAGCTAAAATTATGTAATGATCCATAGTTAAATTGAAAATCATTAATAAAAAATAAAAAATGAAATGAAGGTTGACTGAGAAAGTATTTAAAGATAATTTTGTGTATAATGAAGAAGACTAATTTGAAAAAAGAATGACACCTCTTGTGACATTTTCTATTCCTTTAAAAGAAACACAGCTGAAGCTATTTTCTCCTGTGTTGTGCTTTAATAGAGCACAAGAGAACTATTTGATCCATGAAACCGGTTTCATTGATTTCAAGATTTCTTTGACTTACAAAGGAACGATTGAGTAACAGCTTGTCTTAATTTCGTGCTAATTACAACGCGGTATGCAGTAGCTTTTTCTAATTTCTTCTAATTAATAATAAATGTTTCAAATTAAAAGTTACGTTGTTAATATTATTAAGATCAAAAGAAGCACCCATAGGTACTACCTACATCCTTTCGTGAGACTGTGAATGTTCAAGATATCAAATTTTCTGACTGCCATAATAACACATTAATTACAAATTAAAACAAGGAACTACTTCTTCATGGAGTAGTAGCAAAGCCATGGGAAACTGAAGTAGCAATAGCTGCTGCCTTTATCCTTTCGTCAGGGTAGCAACTTTCAACATAATTGATTATCTAGTTATCCTCTTGAAATTCTAATTGTAAATTAAGAAAGATCGTTTCTTTTGCGAAGTAGCAAAGCGGGGTAACCTAGGACACCTCGTTGTCCACAGCTTCCTAGATCAACTTTGTAAGCGGGTTGCGCCAGCGACGCGACGCATTCTCGCAATCGGCCACGATAATATCCCGAGGGCCTCGGTTCGCTCGTTACCCAGAGGCAGAATTACTTTAAAAGTAGGTAGCCACCGTCCGTCTGCTTGGCCGACCAATTACACCGGGCCGACTACCAGTATATAGAAGAGCCACGGAGGCCCTGTTAGCTGATTTCTGCTCGTACACCCGTGAATCAAACATCCACCATCGGTTTCTTCTCTCCACCAAACATGAGACTTCCAGTGAGTGTGAAATCCTCTTCAAACTATTCCATGGTGGTCCGAGTTGTTTAACTGTATAGAATTTCTTCGGGGGGTTTCAGTTTGAGTGTTGTTCAGTTATTAGGTTCTTTGCTTGGTTTCAGTGAGTGATACAATTATAGTGTACTTGTGATTGAAGGGTTGTCAGTGACGGAAATTAATCTCTTTAAATGTTGAGGATAAGTGAAGACTGTTGAATGGTGATGAGGGTTGATTGGGTCGTTTGGCACTTTTATTTATGGATTTCTAAAATTCTGACTTTGTGATGTTCTATAAGCGAAAATTCAGTAAAGGAAATAATTAAAAAAAAAAGATTAGAGAAATATTATTTTGAATGATATTGATACTATAGTAATAGTGCAATGTAGGAAATTAAAAACTTGAAATTTGTAATTTTTTAATTTGTATTATTAAGTATAGTCAACTTGGTAATTAATATAATTCGATTTAATTAAAATTAGTAGAGTTTCCTTACTTACGTTTATATAATATCCTTTTCTTGTTTCTACTTGCAGAACGTAACAATAAGGTTTGATTATTTAACTTCAGAATAGGTTGCATGATGATAAGAATGGAATGTTCATTACTGAGAAGTGTATTTTTTAACGCTTTCTTAGCACAGTTATGTTACTTTCGACACAGGAACTACTTTTCTATTACATGTAGTCACTTAAATTTTATTTTATATTACTTTCTCACTTTATTAATTTATTTTAGTTTTCAAAATCTTTAAATGATTATAAGCTTTATTGATTTAATTATAACAAAAATTCTTCGTTAATAATTACATAATTAGTTTTTCCTTGTTACGTTTATAAATTAAGATTGAATTTGAGTTATTAATTTTTCGGTATCATTAAAGTGGAATACCTGTTAAATATTCAATTCTTAATTCCTCATTCATTAGTAAATATATTGCATAGTTATTTAACAGTTCAAGGTTCGATTCACTCATGCATGTTTGGACTTGGCAATACTAGTAAGCCTTTGCATGCTTCATACGATACTGAAATGAAACTGACTTTGCATAAAATTCTAAATATCATGAATCATAAACAAAATTTTACATTTAAAAAAAGAAATGAGGCTTTCTAGAAATGGGAAGGATCTTCACCTATTTCACCTATCTTTACCCGAATTAAATAAAAAAGATCAAGTTATTTTATCAAAAATTGCAATATTGCAAAAATCACTGCAAGATTAAGTCCTGCATACATATTTGAAAATTAGTAGAATTTCCCTGCTAAGCACGACTTAAACAATTCGTTCCAACAGTTTTCAACAATTCAGAACAGTTACGAGACGGAAATCCTTCTAGGTACTTAGTTTGTTCATTGAAACATACTCAACCTCGATTTCCCACAATTAAAAGTTATTAAGAAACAATTCAGCATGGTCTCTGGCTTAACTTTACGATAATTCCAGTATTATGGAAGAAAGTGAAACGTTACGAGGCATTATAAAGTACGATTGATGGTTAGTTGTAACACGCTCGGTTTACGATAAGTAACGGGATAAAAGCGGAAACGTAGCATGGTAGTGAAATGTTTTACCGAACAAAACGATCGTACGAATTCTCTTCCGCGTGCGATGTCTTCGCTCTCAGTTTCTTTCGATCCGAAGAGAAAGAGGAGTTCACTTTCTAACGGATCCCATTACAGTTACAGCATCGTTGCATTCGTCCTTTCAGGGTTGGTTCTCATGGCGATTCATTTATCCACCGTTTTATCTGTTTACAGATTCTACTGATTGCTTTAATTTTGACAGTGGTGGCACAAGAGAGCGCGCAGCGTTCTGCTCGAACCCCTCAGGCTCAAATCAGGTATCAAGATCCCAATGGTGAGTACATAATTAATTTATTCAATTATTTCAAATAATCAAGAAAAATCCTCCCAGAAGATTTGCACATTTTTTACTTATATAAGTACCAACCACATCAAATAATTTATAATTGTACAATTTTATTATTAAATCATTAACATTAGAACTACTAAAGAGGACAAAATGACTGGTTTTCAGTTTCTTATTTTAAATTATAAATTTTATCGAGGTATTTTTACGTTTACTGTATATTAAATTACGTTTCATCCCTTATCTATTTAGTAATCTACATCGGTACGTCGGTAATTCCAGTGTTAATATCTTCTTTTGTTGCAGGTCTGAAGGTGGACTGGAAACTATTCTCTCCCCAGACCCAATTGCGATCTCAGTATCAAAATTTGCAAATTTCTCAACAAGAACAATCTTCTACTTCTGCCAATACTGCACAAGCTCATCCCCAGCAACAGGCACAAAGGCGACCTCAACAATCTCAGCTACTGCAAATCGACCCAGACGAAGTGCAGTACAAATCGTACTCACAGCCTCAAGCTCAAGCAGCAGCTCAGCAAGAACCCAGTCAGATACAATACAAAACCTATGAACAGCCTCAAGTCCAAGCAGCACCTCAACCAGATCCTCATCAACAGCAGTACAACGCCTACGTACAAGCTCAACCTCAACCAGAGGCTCAACCAGATCCCCAAGCGCAATACAACGTGTATGAGCAGTCTCAAATTCCAGCTGAAACTCAGCCAGACCAAAATCAGATACATTACAACACCTACTCCAATGCCCGGTCGCATGCCAAACAAGTGATTCTAGAAAATTACAAGCCACAACGTCATTACGCTGAACAACCTACTCAACAGTACACTTCGAACGTCATAGCTCCTCAGGATCAGCAATTAGCAAACGCTGATTATTCTCAATACGATCAGTCGGAAAGTTACGAGCAAATAGAGCAACAGAAGTCCAGGCGGGATTACGCGAATAGTGGATTTCAGGGTAGAATCGTGTACAAACACGAATTGGAACAGCAACAACAGCAGCAGCAGCAGCAGCAGCAAGAGCAGTACGAACAGCAGATCGATCATGTAAAAGTGCCTATTGAGAATCTTCCTGTTCCACCACCTCAGAAGCTGATCTTCCATAAGAACATGCCTAGGGAGATTCAAGAGTTATTGCAATTCCAAGCTGAATTACCATATAATGTAATCGCAAACAGCATCAGTTACAAGCCGAAGACGGTGTTCGTGCCTAAACCGTTGCCGCCTGAAACTAAAGGGCCTTATAGCTACCGCAGCAAGATCTATTACGTGAATAATGACAGATACGAGCCGGATTTCGAATCGATTAAACCTGTTGAAGAGGAACAGAATCATTGAACGAGGATTTTTGAGGTAGAGGATTCGTTTCATGATTGGCAGTGGCGGCTCGTAGTTGAAAATTGTGCTGTTTCAGAAAATTTTTAGTCTTTGTTTTAAAAAACCGGCAGTGTGGGGGAGACACTGCTCTCTCTCCCGCGCAGCTTCGCGCGCAGCTTCCTGCGTGCGCATGCGCACACAATCAAACACCACGCCGCTGGAACTAGGAAGCACACAGTTCCATACAAAGATTTTTATATCCTTTTCATAAATTGGGGGATGGCTACTGACATTAAGCTTAAGGATTATATATTGTACAAGCATAAAGAAAGAATTACAGAGAAAAGGATTCATTATATTAAATGTTATCGATAATATCAAGTGGAAATAGGAGGTGTCGCAGTTCCACAGTGCCTGTACGCGAGTCGTCACTGATGATTGGTGTGTTGAAATTGGGATATGTTTGGGGAAGTTTGAAGAAATTTGAAGATGTTTAAAAAGGTTTGAAGGAGTGGCGAAGGGACTAAGAATAAGTTTGTACATTTCTGTGCTTTAAATTATTATAATATGATTATAATATTAAGGTTAGTTTGGAGGGATAAGCAGAAAATTTAAATTGAAAAATGAAATGATCGTGTGCTAAATAATTCTACCTATAATGTGTCTGATTGTACATGTCAATTTCCATTGCACCATTTAACGAGTTAGGGTATTTAATTTCAGCTAAATAGCAATTGCAGTAAGTATCGAACGAAAATACGAAATTTTACTCCTTCATATTTCCCTCAGACTCTCAACTTTCTCTGTGAAATAGAAGAATTAAACACTTACCTTTCTTGCTTCAACGCGTTGAGGAAAAAGGAAGTTGTTAAGTTTCTGGGTTATAAACGAAATTGAATCTTGTATTTTTAAGTTGCACGAAATATTTATCAATCTTCTCTGTGTTAACATCACCAACTCTAGCTTTAATTGTTTGCTCTATTAACTATCTTCTATAGCTTTAAACGGGCATAGTTATTTGTTACCTCTGACTTCAATATTGTTAGACAAATTAATCAATGAGGATCTGTAACGAATGTTTATGCATTTATAGAATATTAAAACATCCCAGAAATATGTAAAATATACAAAATGAACAAATTAAAATAATATAACATTTTAAATGATTCAAAGGGCAAAAGTATTTTATAAAAATATATATGTGCATAAACATCCGTAGCTTAATTATTACATTTCGTGTTAAAATAATATTGTATATTTAATGTAAATTATATCAATAATTAATTTTTCCAGGATAAACATTTTTTTACCGAAACAATTGATTTTTACTTTACTGGTTCTACCATTCAATTCCCACTAATTAATCAATTATTCTTCCAATAATAATTACTTGATATTATTACATATACAAAAACAAAGAAGAAAGAAAACTAATTACTATCCTTTATTTTTCTAAAGCGTCTAATTGATCTATACAATTTTATTAGGAGTGAAAGAAAGCAGAAAGAATGTACTTGAATACTTTCCATTTCATCAGATCCTCTATTCCATCAAATAAATTATTCAAATAATTTCCCTCGCGCTACGAAACCAATTCACCATTCTAGTACATAAAATTTTTTCCATCGCGTGTCGGTGAGTGACTGGAAGCAGCGTGAACGGAACTTCCGGCGTAAAAGTAACTTACAAGTTAGTTTCGATTACGAAATGGTTATCGATCTGTCGAGCACCGCTTCCGAGGTAAATTTATTAATCCTTTCGCTATAGTCTGCCATAAAGTATTTACATTTCAATACAATAAAAATTTCCATATGAGCATCAAAACCAAAAACATTCTATGCTAAAAAATTTCTCGTTGCAAATAAAAATTTACGAACAAAATCATTAGATGTTATATTAAATTAGATAATTTAATATAAAAACGTATGAATACAGTTTCCGGCAGAATTAAAGAGATTCTTCAAAAAAGTTTATCTTTTCTTCTAAATTTATTAGAGGTGTAGTCTTGGAGTCTGTGCGGATTGTAAATCATGTATTTGTTAACTTTGTTGTTAAGATAAATCTGTTCTTATTAAGTCTTTAGGTAGAAAGTCCGATGGTTTCCACCTTTCTAATAAAGACTCATGTTCGATCGGTGATAATGGAAAGCGATATCTTGTGTCGATTACGCATAGACTGATGGAAAGTAAAAGCATTTGTTTGCTTGATGATATCTGGTACGGAACTGGATATAAGATTGCGATTCAGTGAAATTTAAGATCATTGTCAGGAAGTAATGATACGTAATGCTTAAATGAATACCAGCTAGCTAATTAATACTTTGACGGTCATACATCAGCTGTTTTATATGAATTTTTATACGAAATTATTTCCTCCAACTTTGTTTCAAGAGATACATTTTATGATTATAATAAATTTTATCTAGGTGGTCGTTGTATGTATTTTATTTTTCTCACCTTATGTATATTATCATTATAAAAGTATACAGTCTGGTCAGTGAACTGCGAAGGGAGTAATGGATTAGTATAAGTTACTATAAAAACGAAAGTTGCAGCACGCTAAAGTGTAAAAGCGTGCATAATGCAATTGCCAAGAGTAACATGAATCGATGCATAATGCGTGAAGGCCACGAGAATAATTTGCATGTTCTTCCTTGTCCGGTGAAATGCTGTCACTTTCGTCATGAAATCTAACAAGGTACAATGACTTCAGAAAAAGATTGCTTTAACAAATTTAAGAAATTTTATGTTTACTTTTAAATGGACTAATATTCAAGGAATTTTAAATAAATCATAAATTCTTCTTATTCCTTACTAAAATGAATCAAATTACAAGTGTTTTAAAATTTTCACAGATTTTGAAATTTTTCTAGTAAAAATAGTACGACGATGTTATTCATCTCTGTTACCTAAGTTTAGCACGAATAGATTCATTAAGTGATGAACAGGATCGTTGCACCGTAACCTTTGAGTGCTTTGTGCCTGGGAAACGCATCTCTGAATCGCATTCTAGGACGATGGCTTCAACGTGTACCGAGGATGCAATCGAGTACTGTTTTACATGTAACGAGGATCTGTATAATGTATAGATTCGCATCAACTAGCTTCTATTAGTTCTCGAAGTGTATTCCGAATGAGAACGAGATAATTGAATGCAATTTCTTGCAGTAAGAAAGTTGACATTTCTTCTTTCAACATAAATAAACATTGTATTAAGAAAATATAATTTGTACATTTTGTATAAATATATTCCATTATTTCAAGTTGAAAAGAATTACTTTTATATATTTTGAATGACATATAAATATTTTTCTGTGTTTATATTGCAAAAAAATGATAAATTTGATAAAAATTGAAGTCACTTACACCGCTGCATTCCTTACATCCTTGCATTCCTTACATCTCTGCATTCCTTACATCCCTGCATCCCTTACATTCCTACATAACTTACACCGCTGCATCCTTTCCATCTATGCTTTCCTTACATCCATGCATCCCGTATATCACTACAACCCTTATAATAAATATATTATAAATACACTGGTTCGAGTAAAGGTAATTAAAGGTAAGTAAAGGTAAGTAAAGGTAAGTAAAGTTTCATAAGTCCCACCTTTTCAATTCAAATTTAGTTCCTTTTTTTGCCGCCAGAGGGCGCTGTTTCGACGTCGATTCAGCGCCATCTGGTTTCAGAAAAAGGAACTAAAGCTTGCCAAAATTTTGGCCCTCTAGCGGGAAAAATGCGAACTAAAATTTCGACGTCGAATCAGCGCCCTCTGGTTTCAGAAAAAGGAACTAAAGCTTGCCAAAATTTTGGCCCTCTAGCGGGAAAAATGCGAACTAAAGTTTCGACGTCGAATCAGCGCCCTCTGGTGGGGAAAAAAGGAACTAAAGCTTGCCGAAATTTTGGCCCTCTAGTGAGAAAAATTGGAACTAAAATTTCGACCTCGAATCAGCGCCCTCTGGTGGCAAAAAAAGGAACTAAAGCTTGCCGAAATTTTGGCCCCCTGGCGGGAAAAATGTGAACTAAAATGTCAACGTCGAATCAGCGCCCTCTGGCTGCAAAAAAAGGAACTAAATTTTGTAAAAATTTAAAATTAAAATTATTTTTCATCAGACTACTTACCTATACAGGCACCTAATTAACTCGTAAGGCAATTAACAAATATTTTAGGATACAGTGTAGAAAAAAGGAACACCACTGACGGTGAAGCTTGGTGACACGAACCATTACAAAAGCTATACAAACCATAGAGTTAGTTCTATGTAATAGTAATGGGGAATCAGTAATACGATGGTGGAGGTGGTAAGTCACATCCCCGTCGTTGAAAGGCACCTTTTACGTAGCCGCCTATAAAGTTGTTCCGGTGACCGCGCGACCGCCTCAGATACACTCCACCCTTGAACGCATCGAGCAGCCTGCTTTCTCGCGATGAATTTGCTGGTAAGTAAATATTTTCATTTCCTTATTCAATGAAATCGTAATTATCACAATCAATCAACAAAGTTCCGTATAGTTCATTAACATTTCTTACTTAACAATGTAGGTATTATTTTTTCAAATTTTCAATGATCATTAGTTTAATAGTATTCCTAGATTTAAATTTTGATAATTAAGATAGGAAATATTACCTGTTTATTGTTTATTTTTAATTTTAATGAAATATACAGAAGTTTTGTTAACAGACTACATTCATTATTATTAATTATCATACATACAATTATATATGTGTCATTTATTACTAATATAACTACTCTGTATGGTTCTCAAATTAAGAACGGGGTTGATAGATATTTAAGATTCGAAATTATTATATTGTGTAAAGATACGTATCGCGTGTGGTTAATTGCAATGAAGCAGCACCGGTTAATTAGCGGTTGTGTTCGTGCATCCTAGATTAATTGGATAATGAGTGGTTGTACTGATACTGTAAATTGATAATTAGTATACAGTATTAATATAATTAGTAAGTATAGGCATACTGTACGTATCTGAATTAAGTAATACTTTGATTATTGAGAAATATTAGTAGAAAATTTTCTCTAATCACAGTAATTTGATCAGAAATAGATAATACTTTTTGTACGACGTTGCGTTCAAGAAAGTGAAATGTTAGGTTCGATTACAATCGATCCGAATGTTCAATTTCACAAGATCTTCCTAAATTGCCTGTACAGCTACATTGTAATAACAATTTCATTGGGAATAGGCAAAGTATTACAGAAAATTTATTCATTTACGATTAAGGAGAATGATAGGTATGCCTGTTCTAAAATGTCACGCTTTCTCATGTTACGAGTGAAATAAAGTAAACGTGACCATAAAATCATCTGTGTTATGCTGAATGAAGGTGGATGATAGGTTTAGAATTAAAAAAAAATATTATACAACATGATATGTTATCAATTTTGTAATAAATTCCTCGACAGGAGGACACTTGCAGACAAGTTGAACCAGTAATTCGAACTCTTTCCTTCTTTTTTCGTTCGAATGATCGAGTCAGACGTGTCTTGTCGGCTAATTTATATTTCACTTTCTACCGGCGAGCGTATAATTCCCGTAACGGTGTGCTTGATCGTTACACTTAGTCCCGGTTTCCAGATACGTTTCGTTGCTTTTTCTTGTAGTTAACTTGGAATGTTTAGACGGGAGATTCCAACGCGTCGCCATTTCCCGATTACGGAAACTGCTTCTGTTGGATATATGTGAAACTTTCCCCTCGAACTGGAATCTTAACACCTTAAAATTTGATTCGAGCGAATTAATATTTAGGAATAATTAGTACTACTTATGCTGAGAATTAAAAAAATTTTCAAAATTTTTTTAAATACAAAGAATAATTACTTCAAGATATTTTTCTTCAAATTTTGAGTACTTCTTTATATATTAGAATTTTTTAATTAAAAACATTAGAATAAAGTGCAATTTTTTAAAAAATTACAAATTTAAGGCTTATAAAAGTTAGAATGGTATTATTATTGGAAAATATTTTCTAATATAATAATAGAAATATTTAGTGAAAAGTATGTTACAAATGATATAACGGAAAGAGACACTACTTAATATCCTATTACATGTCGATTTCCATTTAACATAATTGAATGATATAATGCATATGTACTTCCATGTAGAATGTCCTTATAAAGAACTTTGTGAAAGGCGATAAATTCCTCGAGAAAAGGAACTGATTAAACACAATTAAGATCATTTAATTAACTTAATGGATTTTAACGAATAAATTTACATTATGCAGCAGTTTGAAAGAACTGCACTTTCTACGTACTTGCAGTACATAGTTTTAAGAGTAATACTCTATCATATAATTTCATAAATTGGCTTTTTGAAAATACCATTTTCTGTTATCATGTTCTGTTATATTTAGAAGCATGTTATTATCAGCTTCATGTGATCACTAAGAATCTAGTCTTGAAGTTGCAACTTTCCCTTGCAGATATATTGCACCGTTCGCGAAATACAATTCCATATAAATGCATAGAACACAAACCAGTGTGTAATCACTACTATCACTGTTTCTAGTTCCAACATATTAGAGCACTGTGTTATGCAATCAACCCTCAAATAAATATTTTTCCATTTTAAACATCTTTTGCTATGTAATTCCATTTTTAACATTAAATGCTGCAACATTTTATTTCCTAATTTAAACTTTCCATTTAGTACCTTACGAAATTAATATGATAGTAATATTATGAAATCGATGTAATATTGATATTAATTTGATAGGTAGTATTAACTCTAGTTAAGAAAAATTCGAGTTCCAGTTTCACTTAGTTTTAAATTGAATACCTAAGGAGTATAAAATAATTTCATGAAAATGGAATGTATAAATAATGATTGTATTTTATAGGTTTTACTGCTAATAGCACTGCCCATGTGCATAGCACAATTTTCAATACAGGGACCTAGTGACGGGAATCGAGTCGCCCAGGGTTTAACAATACAGGAAGGGAAAGGAGTTCAATACACAGAGCAAAGTGGTAAAAGATAGATATGAGTTACTGATACTGTTACTACCAGAAGAAAAATCAAGTATAATGTGTCTCCCTGTCTCTGCGACCAATTCACTTCTTGTTTAATCTATGACAAATTCTTTTGACATTTCTATCGAATTAGAATGTTCAATCAATTAAAGTTTATCATACACCAAATAGATCTTTTTACTGATTGTCTAATAAGGAATTAAATATATTTATTTATTTTTATTTAAATATATTTATTTCATTTAGTTATAATTATTTCGAACGATAGTTTCACACTTGGCTTTAATTCTTTTATTTTATTTTTATAGAACCGGTCAACGGTGGTTTCACCATTCAAGGTGCTCAAGATAGTCACTCCAATGTTCAAAGTGGCTCTGATGGCCATACAAATTTCAATATTCGAGGTTCTAGTGACGCCGGTGCAGAAAGGTACAATTTCCAAGGAGCTACTACTGGAGGATATAATATTCAAGGAGCAACGGATGGACATAGTCAGCCTCAATCGTACATTCGAGGCTCATATGCTGGCGATCCTGCTACTAAATCTCTTGAGTACAATGATCCAAGCGGTAAAGTAATATGAATTTTACATTAAATATAAAGTTAAAAAATAAATTAAAATTGAATTAAAAATTAAATAAAAATTTCACAATAAAACTAATTAAGTAACTCTTTAAATGAAGGAGATGTGTAATTCATGATTGATTGGTCGTTGATATATCATTTTTATTTTTGAAAAATTCATAAATATAATGCGATATTAATACGAGTTATTTTATTATAATGTCAAAGGTAAAACACGAGAAAGTTCCTAAAGCTTGGAATCTAATTTGCATAGTACAGAACCTAATAGCTCGCATGTATAAGTAGATTTATACCATATCATATGAGACTTGCAAGTTTAAGAATCAAACCTGTTAGTTTAGTTATCTGAAACCAAACGACTCTATACTTTCTGAATCGTTTTAATCCAATACTTGATCGTCAGTAAATCGTAGAAATATTTTTTTTAAATGTAAACTCAAGTCCACCTTCACTTTTTTAAATGAAATTTGAAAAGTTGTCTTGAAACTAGACTTGAATTTATCAACATGTTAATAATTTATAGAGAAAATTTATAGCGAAAATAGTTTGCATATTTTGCACTAGAACAGACCAGGTCAACTTATGCTTTCCACCGTTCCACACAGCTGGTTCCTTGATTCTTAATTTAAGAACCAGTTTAGACTTCACACAATTACGTCACTCCAACATTCCAGACAGTCCTGTATTTGCCGCAATTCGACAGTGAAATACCAATTAAAAGCTAACTTGAAATTTCATTATCCTTTGAAAGGATCAAGGGTGAACTGGAGATCGTACGATCGTCAGTCATTGCCAGGGGCACAGCAACAGACTCAGTATTCGGAAGCCGTGGCTCCGGCACCACGACTACGGCAACGCGGACATGCGCAACGTCAACCGCAGCCCCAACCGCAGCCCCAACCGCAGCCCCAACCGCAACAGGAAATAGTGAACCCGATACCATCAAAAAGTTTGGACAGTGCACCAGATTACATTAAACAGCTCCTTCAGTTTCAGGCTCAAATTCCATATGTAAACATCATTCCTGAACCGTTTAGGTAAAGTGCTTTTTAATCCTTTCGGTGCATGGATGCATAAATGCATCTAGATACATATAAAAAATGGAGAAATTGGATGTAAAAATATTTTAGAAAAAGAGAATTTTATGAAACATAATTTGTTATTTTTTGTAGATACGATGCTTTAGTGACGACACAAGAACAAGCTCAAGAAAATCCACAACCTCAGTACCAACGCGTGGAACAGGAAGCTCCAGAACCAAGGCGTCCAGCTTACCGCGGGAAACCACGTGGTCCGTCTAGACATAGACGGCAGGCGCCGGAACACAGACCGGAAGCTGGGCCGCAACAAAAACAGAGACCATCGCAACCACCTGCTGAGCCACAGTACAGATACTCAACGAACTTACCACCAACGCTACAGCAACTATTGAAATTCCAGGCGCAGACTCCTTATATTAATATCATACCTGAACAGTTCAGGTGAAAAAAATAAAATAATTAATTCAAAATGGATAGCAAAATTCTAATGTTTAATTTCATATTTTTTATTTTTCTAACTTTAAAAAGATTCTAAATTTTTAGATTTAATCCAGAAGCAGCAATACAGGAACAAATGCACCAGGTGCAAAGTCATTATCAAGATCTGCTGAGACAGCAACCATCAAAGCCAGTCGTGCAAGCAGCAACATTTGGAAGAGCATCGACTCGAGCTCGAGCTCAAGAACCAGAAGAAGAGCATTCCAGACAAAGAAGACAAGCTCCTCATCGGCAACCACAGCCACAGCAACTACCTGCAGAACCTCGACCACAATATTCGACCAACCTCCCAAGCGACATTCAAAATCTGCTGAAGTATCAGGCTCAAATTCCATACAATATCATTGCCAATCAAATCAGTTATCGTCCTGAAAAGCCTTACATTCCTCAACCTGTTCAACCTTCTCAAGAATCCCAATACCAAGCTCAATACCAAGCACAGCAAGCTCAATATCAGCCTCAACAAGCTGAGTACCAACCACAGCAAGCTGAGTACCAACCACAGCAAGCTGAGTACCAGCCACAACAAGCTCAGTATCAGCCTCAACAAGCTCAGTATCAGCCCCAACAAGCTCAGTATCAGCCTCAATACCAACCTCAACAAGCTCAGTACCAACCACAGTACCAAACTCAAGCAGACCGATATCAAGGACAATCAAGTGGATACAATCAGCAATATAACAGTCAGATACAGTATCCCTCTGGATACAAACAATCTGGAAATGAAGTTCGTCCTGTCAATGAGAATAACTACTGAAGATGATCATTTATGATCAGATAATTGTTTGTATTTTTTTTTTCTCACTTTATTCGATGTTTTACTTCGTTATTAATTAATTGATTAAAAGGATGTTTTGACGCGTCGCATGTTATATAATAAAGAAGCGAACAGAGGAATATAGTAATTAGTATGTTAAATGATGAAATGGAAGTGCTATAATTATAATTATTCAGAATAGAATCTTTTACTATTAATTCATTATTCAAGGGTAATTAAAATATGAAGAGAAAGTATTCTGAATACCAGAAAATTATACTAATTATTTCTAGTAAATTGAATTATTAAATTATCATTTATAATGCCAAGAATGACGGCTAATTTTATAGCATTCGACATGCTAAGTTTCTAGAAAAAATTAATTAAACGTTATGGCAATTAACATGCGACACGTTTTGAGTGATATGCAATTCAAGAGAAATCGTATTTGCTGTGATTTTTTTTAAATACCATCTAAAATCGATAATTTTTGCAAATTTTATATACATTTTTCTCCACTCAAATTACATCCAATTACTTTTACTAATTGAAATAAGTTTTTATTTAACAGCTTAAAATTCGCAGCAAAGAGATTCTTGCTTGTTTTCAATCAGTATACATGAACTAATATTTATTTCAATAAATGATATTGTTTTTTATTTTGTTACAAATGCAGTTGCAATCAATGAAGGAATAGTTTTGAAATTTGCAAGCTTTTAAGGAAAATTGAAATATTATTGGTTAATTATTCTCATTTATCATGCTGAGAAATTTCACTAATGATTTGTCTTATTTTCTTCAGTAATTAATTCAAGCCGGATATATTTTATTTTTGTTGTAGAGATCACAGCAGGTTGCAACTTTCCTTTACTTTCCTTCTCTCTTTAAAGACACCGGAACCGGAACTCTACCGGATAATTTGAATAAAACAAACGTGCACGATACTTTAAGACCCAGTGAAGGAAACAGGTTGTCATAACGGAAGTTATTTGATATTCTAACAATTTTTATATACATATGTAGGTTGAAAGAAATTATAATATCTTCCGGAACTTATTGCTACAAATGAATGAAAGAACAAAATCAACCAATTTCTTCAATTCGTGAGAGAATGTTTCCGAAGAAGCATCATACATATAATGTTTATCTGTTTTTATACTTTTTATACTTTCACGTTTTCCAATAAAATATTTATAACCAACAAATGTCTCGTTTAATCGTCTAAATTTAAATCATTGAAGGAAAAAATAAAATTTTCAATTAATTTATTTATTTTGAAAATATCCGTATTCTTAAATGCAAATGTTCTTTGCTCTTTCTAATATTTTTTTCTATTATTTTCGTTAGTAAAAAGATTGTGATTCATTATTATAACAATTAAATTTGTGATCCTTGTTTTAAAAATAACTTTAAATTCCATGGCAAAAGGATCGACAAATTAATATGAATTTGGTAAAAGATTATTTTATCTAATTAATTTCAAGTACAAGAGGTTAATATAATGTCGTACAGGTAATTAAAAAAACCATACTCAGACACAAAATCATACTAATCTAATCCTACATACGATCCACTTTCACTCTAAACTTTTTTCCTTCCTACAATCATTGAAGTTAACATGTTAACTACCACAGTGGAAATGAACATTTGTTATTAGACAGCGCCGGATTAAGGGGAGGTCTAAGGGGGGCTACAGTCCTGGGCCCTACTTTTCATACTCCCCACTTATAAGCCATCCATTTACCATGTCAAGGAATATTGAATGAAATTTTCGTGTACTGCTGCCCTTTTCCTTTCTCTAAATGTTATTTTATTAAGAATAAATTATAATATTTGAACCAAGGGGCCTCATTAATCCAGTCCTGTTATGGAAATAGTTAATTTTCAAATGTCAAAGTTCCAAATCAAAAGTTTTCAATTTGCTACTTTATATTATAATGTTATTCAAAATAATGTTTTCTCACTGTTTCCTTTTAATTACTTGAGTATATCTAATTTGCAACCAAATTGCCTAAGCCTTGAATTTATTTAAAATAAAGTGATTATAAAAAATGATCGTAAACCCATATAAATATTCACCTACATTTAAATAATGGCGGAAAGCAAACATTTTGCATGGTGTTAGATCCAGAAGTGGAACGGTGAAGGTAGAACTGCATTAAGGTCAACCGTGCACTTTCTTGCTAGTAGAGCGTGCAAATGCACCGGTTAAAATGGTGTTTTTATGGAATAGAAAATGTCCCCACGAAACAGTGCACTTTGCGCGATATACATTAATGCGGTCGACTTAGGAATACGGAAGTGACCGATGCATATGCTTCCTGCAACTGGTGGCCATACCGTTACGTGACCACAATTACATGTTTTACAAACCTGCACAGACATTGACTCGTGATTTATGTTTGCGTCAATATCGAATTTCTGATCCACTGGACTGAATTCTATTCGACTATGTTTTTGCTCGACAACCCCTTCCCCATACCTCTTTATTCTACCAGCGTTGATTTAATTAGAATTCTTTTATGAAATTAAATTTTTGAAAATAAATGTTCATTTCTAATTATTAATTTTAAAATCAGTTGACTTTAATTTGACATTTTTTAAAAAAAGGACAAAGTAAGACAAAAATTCAAAATATAAGGTTTAATGATTATAATGATAGTAGTTTTTAATTGAAAAATTTGATTAAGTAATTTTTAATTGTTAAAAGATCTTGTTTCTTTGAATTAGTAATTATTGACTATTCCATTGATTGGTTATTTGAAGGTATGGAAATAACTCCGTTTTACGAAATATGTAGTTCTATAATTATTCGTTGCGAGCTTTCTATAAGTCTCGCAGTTAATTATCGTTGTCCAAACAAATTCCAAAGTGCTTCGTGGTCAAATGCATTCAAAAAAGGAAAACTCGATCGAACGACTTTCACGTAACTTTAAATTAACCTCTGATATAATAGGCATTCGGGAAAACCGATTCTGGTTTTCATATAAAGTAGCAACGTTTTTGCGAGGAATGTTAATACAAGGAACGTGATTTTATCTTTCCAGCAACTAAATCCTGTAAGGTAACTGTGCTCCTTCATCTGAATTTAACTAACAAACCAAATATTAATCAAATATGCGAATTAATATTTATGTAACATTTTGTTACTTAAAATTATACATTATAAATATCCTATGTGGTTAATTAATAATTTCAAACCATATTATTCAATGTTTCATATAAATCATGATTGGAAAAAAGAAATAAAATTTTTCTACAATTAATAATTCAAATATTTTACAAATTATTGATTTTTTTAATGTTATATCCTAACAGTTTTTTAATTAAAATAGCTTTTATAGTAACAGCAACTTTCTCGTGGTTGTCGATTCTTCTGAGGTCACGCAAGGTAAATAATATGGCATAGTATAAGTGCAAATTATGCAGGCAGCATTGCATTGCGTGATCTCTTTAATAATCATGATATGTGTACGATAATATCCAACACCTTCACTACTGCATTTTTGTAAACTGTGCACATTTGAGAAATATTTCGGCTATTATTTCGTTCTTATTTTAATAAAAAATAAAAAATATATTACATTATATAAAATAAATATTTCAAGAAATGTGGTTGATCTTTTTAATTAATGAAAAAATATTTTTATTGCTTTTGTGTCTATAGCCATTATATAATAAACAAATTACTATAATTTTTCTTCAATTATCCTCCTTGTCATATGTAATATAAAAATTAGTACTTTTTCTATCTTCTCTTTGTAAGTCAAAAAGAAAAGAAATTACTATTTCACTATTCGACAATTTTCAGAATAAAAAACATCATCTTATGCCTCTTTAAAACACTGTTCGCTAAATAGTGATTGACCTGTGATTTAAAGTATTTAAGAAACAATTTCCTCGGTCACCATAGTTTCCATGTGTCCAGGTTTTCTGATACTGTTAGCTGGATCACTTCCTGGATAACAGACTTGAAACGTTGTACAGCATGACTACGGGGCGCGTTTGTTATATGACAGACGGGCGGGGGATCTGTATACATATATGCCGGAAGAAAAAAATTCAGTCGAAACCGACCAACCGTGAAAGTTGGTGGTTGGCGGGACCATTTACCCTGGAAACGCTCGCCCATATAGAAGTGCGTCGCGACGCGGCCGCCAGTTTCGTTCAGCTACCATCCCGAAATCGCCTACACCTTCGCTATGAAGTTCCTCGTGAGTAAAACTCCATTCTGTACAGTTTCATTATTAATTCAAATCAATTTTTTACATTATCCATTCTTCTCAATTAATTTCTTTGTTATTGCATTTCATTATTTATCTTTTAGTATGAATTTTGGTGTGTTTAAATCATAGTTGACTATGATTGTCATTGTACTTTGGATAATGAATTTTGCAATTTATATTTGCGGTGCAAAATGATGATAGTGATACTTCTTTTCATAGAATAAAAATTCAATATTTCGATGGTCAGTGTCAAGGATGTTCGATATTTTATATTCGACATGTTCTATATTTTATGTTGTTATTTGTTTTTTATCTTCTCTATCTAATGCTAATTGCATTCGATAATTGATAATTTTGTGATGGGTGTTCTTAAATTTAAAATTCAAAGAGTCAAAGATTCCACAAAATAAGCGGCTGTAAAAATATTAATACAGTATAATAATTCTTAATATTATATGATAATAATTATCAAAAATTCAATCTGTTAATTTACAAATTGACACCTTACATGATTACTATACTATAAATGCTATTCTACTTTATTTCTATTTAATTGCTTCTATTGAATTTGAAACGTTATTGATACTGATAATAATTTAGATTAATTTCTCTAAAAAATAATAACTTATTTATAAGATAATTAGTTGTCAATTTCGCATATTATGCGGATACCTCATATTTACCCAATATCTATTACAAAACTCAAACAGCAATTTACGAATTGCTATAATTAACTGCTATACAAACACTATTAATAACTACCAACATGTCATGTAGACATCTAATTTTATATAAAGATCGTTAGATATCATTCAACACGGTTCTGACCTACATTAATTCGTATAAAGTTTCTCTCTCTTATCGCAAATATTAAATCACGCTACTATAGCGTTCGAAAGGTGTGTGCAGTTCAAATGCTTTCATCCTTTCCTTTCATGAGAACTAGTTTCGTGTAGTTTCATGCACGAATGTGTGTAAGGTGCAGTGGTGTGTAACGTTAGAGATCGGTAAAATGCGTTATCTAGCTTTCTGATCGAGCATCGATTTTTCATTTCACAGTTATCCGCGATTTTCATATGCAAAAACATTGATGAAAGTAGTATTAGCAATGGTTTTATGATGATGATACGCGTGATAAAGTAGGACAAGTTAGAGAGCAAACTTTTATCGTTCCATATTGCAGATTTTTCTTTTCCAGATCATTTAGTTGATATTAGAGAATAGAAAGTGTGAAAATTGCTTAGAAATTTTATGCTATCTATAAACTAGTAGCTTAATGCGGCTAGGTGAAAATACTATAAGAAGAAATATAATAAAATTTTTACAGTTATTAGAAACTTAGAAATGACCATGTATGGTACTCCACATTTTAATAAAAATTAACCCACTAAACCGGTAATTAGATACTGATAGAATTTATGACACAGGTGATACCTAATTTAGATGGATTTATTCAGTTTCACAATAGTTTCTTGAAAATTTCATAAATCAAAAATTATTTATTTAATTTAGCTTCAAATTCTTAAGATAAGAATACCACCATAAATCTTATTTTTATATTTTCAATTTAGATTTTTTATTTCGCACCTAGTGTTATTATTATCTTTCTTTTAACTACTTCGTTATGTTCCAAGCATTAGATTCATGGTGACGGTCACCGGTGACCTCTTATGCAATCAACGTGTGAAAGGATAATTAAACGCGCGCCTGTTCACTTATGGAAATACTAGCGTAACATTACAGGCATTTAACATTTCATTAAAGTTTAATTAATCTGATAGTTAACGTGTTAATAGAAAGTGGTGGATATAAATCATGGAACTGTTATGAGGTAAAAATAATTATTTTTAATTCTAGATCTTACTGTTGGCTATAGTGCCCATTTATGCAACTAACGACGCATCCGAAGTTCTTTTGGGACAGGAATTCCAGTACTCATCTATTGGTAAATTTTTCCACAATTTTCCTCCTTTCACTCAGAATTATCATAAATCTAACTTGCCAAATTTTCAGATCACCTGCGCGAGAGAAGGCAAGCAGGGAATTATCGCACATTGAATCAAGCTCCACCTCAAATACAACAACTTTTGGAAGCCCAAAATTCACGTCGTCCCCTCGTGCCCGTTCCAACACAACCGATCCCAAAACTGGGACCTTCTCAACCTATCCAACCTCAACAACTTTCTCAGGCGCAGGTCTCGCAGTACAAGCCTCAAGTCACATTCTCATCGAATATTCAGCAACCGGATTACACGGCAATTCAGTCGGGAAGCGGTGGTCAGTATCAGAGACCGATTCCTCAGCAACCGCTGTATCGTCCTCTCCCTCAACAAAACTATAACTCGCAACCGCAACCGCAATACTCTTCGAAACTGCCGCCTCATCTTCAGCAATTATTGCAATATCAAAGCAACTTGGCGAACGCCATCCCTCGAAGAGCATAATTTCAATTTGAAGAAAGAAAAAGAGTGTAAACTGTCTGGTGAGATGATAATTTTAATCTAATTTATGTTTTAATTTTGATACTTGTTGAGATGTAAGATTTCTGAAAAGGAAGATTGATGATTTAAGATACATCATTGAACCTCATCAGACGGTTGCATTTCAGAAATTTCGAAAATAAAGTTGTTTTTTGTTATGATTTTTATTATTGAGATTATTGATGTCTGAGTTTATTAAGGCATAAGGGTGGTAACATGAATATTATGAGAAAATAATTTTCATAGAAGTATATGTAATAGAAGTTATGTAATAAGGAATTTTGATTTCTGTAGGAAATTGTATTTGACTGTAGTTGTAATAAAATAAGTAAGAGAAGAACGAGAAATTGAAATTGAATTTAGATTAACCCTCAAACGATGGACCATAAAGAGAGCTCCAATTTTACATTTCGTATTTTCATTTTCAAAATTTTGCACTGTTCCTTTAAAAATTATTTACTCTTTAAAATTAAAACTCTTTAGTTTAAAAATCGCCCATTTAACTTTGGATTAATATCCTTCTTTGGATCACGATTGACCCAGGCTCCATTGTTCAAGGTTTAATCAGTCCACTCTAAATTAATAAAAACGAAGAACCAACCTCTAATTTCTACTTCGCCAGAATCCAACCAAAGAAACGGAACCTTCCATTTAACAAAACATTCTGAACAATCTGTCAAGCGTTTCACGATCAACCGATTTGTAATTCAACGTCGCGGAAGAAACGAATTCAACGAACCGCGACGGAAGGGTTCAAGGTGGTACCGGTATTACATCAAATTACGTCATTAAACGCGCCGGTTCGCATTAAGCGTACTCAATTCGTCACTCGAGAAATCAAGGTATCATCGCACCGGTGAATCCGCACAAGGGGCGTATCTAGAGTTCCGGGACGCGGCAGGATAGACAGCAGTTTACCCCCCTTGTCACCCTAGTGCCGCACGACAACCCACACGTTGCAGTCTCCGTCGGTAGAACAGCCCTTAAACTGCGTTCCTACCGCAGTCACACCACCCCGCCCCGATTTTTACCTCCTCGCGTACCGTGAATGCATCCCACCCCTGGACTCACCGACAAACAGGGAAGAGGATTAGCGAGTCCATTAAAGTCGCGGACTCTATTATCCAGAGGGCACGGCCACGGTGACATCAACCGCCTGTCAGTGGCGTAGAAACGTGGTCTGTATTTGGCAAAAAAAAAAGGGATGGGGCAGTTTTTCAGGGTGCACGTTTCTTTACCTTTGCTTCATTATGTGATTTCTGTGCTTTGGTTGAATTTATGTTTTTCGTATGCTTTGTTGGATCATGACTATAATTTTATGTATTTTTATTTTATTTGGATATAATTTTAAATAAATTTTTCATTAGATAATTATCGGTATTTGAGAAAAGTTTTCTAGTATTTTGGAGTGTTTGTTTAATTAATTTTGGCCCCTTTGCTAACTATCAAGTTTGAGATAAAAATTTCATTCATACGTATCGCAGAGCATAAAATACTCATCTGAAGCTTTACCTAGAAATGATTCTTTTTCGAAGAAGAAGCCAACGTCGAATCGACGCCATTGGCAGGGTGGCGGAGCGAGGGGTCATAGAGGCAAATTACAAAGGGAGGATTACCGGCAGCTGGGCTACCAAGCAACCATCTCTATTCTGGGTCTCACTCGCGAGCCATCCACGTCGCTCGAGAGCCCTTTGTCCTTCGACGCATTGGTAACATAATTATCGGAGTTATAGCAAGCCAAAACCCAAGCCGCATCTGAAGGGGTCGCATGTGACGCCCGGTTACGAGCTGATACCACATGCGCTAGGTGCACATGCAGGCGACACCAGAACTAGTCATTTCTGACCCGCTTCAAATACCTCAAACTCCATTTTTTAGGAAATTTGTAAGAGATGTGAATCTCTAATTTATGATTTGTTCTAAATATAAATGTTTCGGAAATTCATGGCAGAACTGTATTGTTAATTTATAATTTATTCTCGATATCCGGTATTATTTCGGCAGAGTGGACACAAATGATATATTGTAGTGGTATGTGCTATAGTGGAGACGAAGACATCGAAACCCAAGACAATTAATGCCTTTTTAACAGTATTTTGCATTTAATTATTGTTGTTATTATTATTAATATTATTCCAATCATTGAACGACTAATTATTAATTAATTAATTAAATATTGAGATCATTATATTGAATGAAAATAAATTTATTTGAAAGTATTTATTTATTTTTATCTATTTCTAATCGGATTAGAAAATTTTCCAATTTCTGTAATTTGTAGATAGTGATAGTGCAAACTATAGCACATATCACTACAATATTTTGCTTGTGTCCCACTCTGCCGAAATATCCTCAATATCCTAATTTTATATTTGTAACTGGAAATCAATTAAAAACTTCTAAATTATTTTTATACACATTCTAATTATAAGAACAGATTTCTCCAACACAATGTACATAGTCTTCATAAAAATTCATTTTTTCGCAAATCCAGTTATCATATTTCCCAATGGAACTTTCTAAAACCGTAAGCATAAATAATTCGACCTGCACGATTTGCAAAATAGAAATTTCGTTCGATCCAATTAATTTCCATGGGTTATTCAGCTGAGCTGGTTCGTTAAATTTTACCTAAAAGTGCGCAGACCGTATACAGACACTTTGTACTCCTAATTATGCACCTAACACAGTGCACTTATGCTCGAAGCAGACTTTGCATTCCGGCATTTCACAACCGTACGATTTGCTGCAATCACTGTGTCACGTTTTTGCAACGTTCGAACTCGAGGACAAGGAAACAAGGGTCGTTTATTGTTCAGACCGCGAATACCGGTCTGATGAAATGTGAAAGGAACAGTGACTATAAATCTGTGAGTGATTGACTTTGATAAGGGATCCTTGCAGGGAAATGTACACAGAATTATTTATTAAAAAGAAAAATTATTATTTTAACAGGTTGACTATAATGGAGCCAACAAATTTTATATTGTCGAATTATTAGGAAATGGGAGAAAAATACAAAGTTTGAATAAAATTAGTATTAATATTAAATTAGAAATTAATTAGGAATTAATGAATTTATATATTCATTGAAGAATGAATAATAATATTAACTCACGGCAGAAAGTTTTCAAAGGATTGACGTTTGAATCAAAGTCCACTAATCTATCGGATTTGGTGAGCTAATATTGTTGTTCAATTTTTCCATCGGACACCAGAGTTCATAACTTTCATAACAAGATATAGAAGGAGCGTGTGAAACGGGTTGCGGTTCGTCAGAGTGTTCCAATAATTGCACTTAATCCTTAGGGTGGCGGCACGCGGCCAGTAATCGCTGACAAATCCATGTCAACCCTCTCTTCGTTCCAGCTTTCGCTTCAAACTTGCTCCAAATTCAAGATTTCGTCACAGAAAATTTTCTATATACACTTCTAGTTAATTGACGTTAACATAGAATTCAATTTCCACATCATTAAAAATTAAATATGGGTGAAATATTCATTCACTCATATTTTTAACTTGAAGTCTGAATAATAATTGTATGAACAGTAAAAACAATTTTATTTTTTAATCTAAATTAATTTTTTAAATATTCTACCATTGTTAAGGGTGGTTCACCTCTATCGTCTCCTATGAATCAACTCCTAACATAATTCTGTTTCAATTTAAAATAAATAATTCATCAAAAATCAGCAAAACCCTAGACAATAATCCTTGCAAAAAATTTTGCACTGAAATGATTTATGAATCATCACACCACAGTACATAGATAAAAAACACAAAAGAATTTCGCAAAAGGAAAACATATATGCGATAGAAAATAAGCATCAGCTAAACGATACCGATTTCGATGAGTCCCTGACCCTTTTCTAGGGCCGCGAAACCATTGTGAAATGAAGCTAGACCGGAAAAATCCAGTATGGCCGACGAGGAACGAGAACCAATGGTTGCGTGTTTCGCGACAGCTGCACATCCCTCGGGGATTGAGATTTCGACTGTCGTCCCTTCTTCGTTTTTGAGACGCCCTAACTTTCTGATTTTTGCCTTACGAAGTCAGCCATTGTGAAGAGACCCGTTTCTCTTCAATACACTCCGTCCTATATACGTGAACCTTCTTCGTGTGGTCTTAAGCCGGGGTACCCGAACGTCAGCCTTTCGAATTGTCTACGTCACACGCGAGCTTTTTGTCGTCTTAATCGTACTTTTAGAAAATCGACACACTGTTTCCTACATTGTCATTGTTCAGCATAACGGTGTTCCAGCACAACGGATTTGAGAATCTTGTGGGGAGCTGAGACTCAAGTAAACTGGATCTTGAAGAACGACCAAAGAGTCTTTGGGTAGCCAGTAACAAAGAATTTTGTTAAATTAGCTCTAATTTCATACATATAGGACAACCAAGCGAAATAACTAATGTTATGAAAGATATATATTGTCTTAATATTAATTATGCTTTTGACAGAATTATTCATATTATAAAAAATGTCAATACTGAGAGAGGTTTCATGCACTAAAATCTGGAGTAAAAAATCAACGTATTAGTATGATTGCAGCTAGTCTTGTGAATACAGAATTAGAATCATTTAGACAATCCCATTTCACATCATTTTTCAAAATCTAAATTAACACTTCACCTACCAGAAGCTTATTACAGGCTAATTAAGAAGGATTACTTCTTTTAATTTTTAGTCCTTGTTAACTTACAAGGTGATAATGTTTATCCATTTGCAGGTGATGCGTTATCATAATTATAAATGGATATATCGAGCAATAATTATTTAAATATCACTCCGTTCGAATATTAGTGAAGGCGATTGTATTTCAGGTCTCGTGCACCTGCTACACCCGTTTGCCAGTTTCAACAATTAAAGTCACTAATATCGGGAAACAGATTACAAACAGGAAGACGATCCCAGCTCGTTCTAAAGCCTTCTCTTGTCTTCGGGGTTCGTCTAACAGTTCAGCAGACGGATATTCCTTACGTCTCGTTCCTTTTAATCCAGCAACGAGGTAAGACCATGGAAATCCGTAATGATCGACACCTGTGACCGAGTTTCTCGGTCGAAGAATACCGAAATAATGCCTAAAGGGTATTCTTAACTACTTTCAATGACAGCTACGTCAGGTGGACCGAGGCTAGACCCCCTGCGGTACCCTTTTAATACACTTTAACATAGCGCGGTCGTGTAACTGCATTCGCGCACGCTTATACCCATCGAAATCGTTAACGTGAAACCTGTTAACCGATTAAACGGGTTCGTTAAGACGGCTCCTTGTTAATTATTGCGAACGAACTAGGCCGCTTGTTAATATTTGATGCACGCAGGAG